GACCTCTGAGGGCTCTCGGGATGTTAGAATAAGTGATGTAGAATGGTTAAATTCCCGATGGCATCTCCTTCTAGTCTATCACATATTCATATCTCTATCCACACCAGCTCCCTCTGTTCTGTATACCAAGCATGCCCCTGCCTCCGGACTCTCAAACCAGCTCTTCTGTTGGTCACCTGGATGTCTCATTCTTTCACCTCTTTTAAGTTTCTATGTCTGCATGGCTGACTGGTCATCACATTTAAATTTCACACTTCCAGACCCCTTCTTTTCTTCATAGCAGCTACATTTTTAATGTTTAATATTCTGCTTATCAAATATTGTCTACATCCTCTCACTAGCTTATAAATCCCATGAAATGGGTTTTTCTTCATTACTATGTTTCTAACACCAGTTCTGTAAAAAGATCTATATTTGTTTATGCCTAAATAGTCAAATGAGCTCTTACCAAATGCTTATAATTTTAGGTCATTCAAAACCAATCTGAATAATGGCAAACAGCACAGGAAGCCATAATGAATCAAATCATAGGATGTCAGGATAGCTAACCTCCTAGGAATTCTCTAAAACAGGCAAACTGCAAACTTGCCCTTTATACTTTTATTTTTCATATTTTAGTGCTTTGTTCTGAAAGGCACTGCATTGTAGCCACATCACCTTTCAAGTTCATACGAGCTTTGTGTTGATGAGTCGTGTGTTCGTGTGCTCAGCAGTGGAAGCAGGGTAAACAGGCCTGCCCACGGCACCCGTCGGCCCTCACACGTTACTAAGGTACAGTTACTAAACAATTGATAGTTTTTCTTGCCACCAGTAATTATCAAAGGTCCTAAAAGGTTAGCATGGCCACAAACTGCTTTTCTAAAATTATATTCTGTCAAAGGTGCAAAAAAGCAGACTTGGCTGGGGAGCTGGCCTTCTCGGTTCTGTTTTTGAGATCTAAGTGCCCTCCTCTGTGATGACTAGCATTGACTTTTGATGATGACTTAAGTACAAAGGTAAATCTCTTGGTTAAAGATCAGAATTAACGTTTGGAGAGCAAAATCAAAATCTCTGATTAATTTCAGTGTCAGTATTACTTACAGATAGTAAACTTGTTACGTAGAATACATTCAATAATGCATGCTGGAATCACCATTTTAGGCTTCCCTGAAGGCATTCCTACAAATACTAGGAACACTGATTCTTAGTCTCAGTCACAAATTTGACACTTTGCCTTATCTATCTATCTATCTATCTATCATCTATCTGCCATCTATCATCTATATCTGTCATCTATCTATCTATCTATCTATCTATTCTTTCTCTTTCCCCTCTCTCTTTGTGGATGAAACTGGGGCTTCACACATGCTAGGCAAGCCTCTACCACTGAGCTACACCCCCACCTCCTTTTTTTATTCTGAGACAGGTGCTAAGATGGCCTTGAACTCAAGATACACCTCTAGCCCAGGTATACCTTTTAATCATCTTGACTCAGTCTCTTGACTGGGATCGATCAAAGACCGGCACCACCAGCTGTGGCTTGCCTTTATTTCAAAATAAATGAGCTGAATCTAATTATCTTTTAATATTTTTGTTTTATATTATACCTTGAGTGACCCTATATTTGCACTGTTGATCTTCCTAACACCAGCTGGTCACAGCAAGAGCTGCCTGGTAGGGACCTGAAACACCCAAGTATGTTCTTTTAAAAATACAATTGCTTTCTGAAACTTAATCTTGTGTATAGTCACTTGACTAATTTCTATTCCAAGCCTCCTTGTTACTGACACTAAACTTACTGTATCTTTTTTAACTTGTTAGAGGAAATAGTGTTCCCAGAGGAAGACCATGATAGAATGTAAAGTATTTCTATGTGAAGGTATATAAGCTAAATTAGAATCACTAACAGCTTCAAAATACTTCCCTCTAAAGTAAATGCATGCAAAAACAATACACTGTGGGCTATGTAAGGCATTTTTCTTTATTATTTTTCAATTTATCTTAGTAATGCCAGAAAAATAACAGCCATTGTTTTCACTTTTAACACAAACCAAATACTGCTGCTGCACATGGAGTACAAAGATCACCTACAAACATTGGTTAGGTACAAAGGCCATTGGATGTATAGACCACACTTTGTTCTTACATCAGAGTAAGACTGACAGAGCATTTTTGACAATTACTTTAGCAAATAACCATGCTACTAAACAAAGGCAAATACACATATATACACAGACAAATCTCAACTAAAATTATACATGTCACTTTGACAAACAAACTCTCTGGTTTCACCAGATATTTGCACCCCCAGGTCCCCTGCCCTTATCCCACCCCCAAATGCTGACTTGATCTGAAAAAAAAAAAGAGAGAGAGAGAGAGAGATGTTTTTAATTAAAGGCACAGTTGGCAGCTACTGAAAGTGGCATGCATCTGGCATGCGTGCACTCTAAGCCACACCGCATATAACTTGCATCTTTTGAGTATCTGGGTTTGGTAGTCCAATGTTGCCCACCTTTAGCTTGCTTGTTTTATAATTTTTCAGCAACTGGCTACTTAATGCACTATTTTTATTAAAGGCAAAAGGGAAGTTTGCTCACAGTTGACAGAAAATGCACTTTATGGTGTCAAAAATGGAAAATAAGGCATGAAACTTATAAAAGAACTTAAAACTGCTTTTGTTTAGATTTATCATGTAGAGTTCATGCTTTTTTTCTTAACTAGAACACAGAATACTTCACTGGCTCATGTGAAAAGGACTATGAAATCATTTTAAGCTAGTACTGTTCCAAAGGGGAAAAATTGAATAAAGGCATCACTTTCCTCACGTTTTACTGCATAGTTCTCTTTCAGCCAAACTGACAGTCACCTTGTGATGTGTAAAAATTAACGTGCAGTACACAGAACCTGCACGGCACAGTCTCATGATAGAGATGGAAAGAGCATGCACACCTACCCAGCAGCAGAATACCAAGACATACATGGTTGCCTTGGTTTTGAATCTGAAGAGGATAAGAAAGGTTCTCTTCTGTGTGTTCTCTAGCTGGGACAGGATCCCCACTTATCTTCCTGAGCCACTATATACCCCTAATTCAGGCCATTATATTAAGATAATGAAATGACATGTGAGCAAAACTTAATTACATGATCATTATGATAACTACCACTTTGGGTTTGCATTAGGGAAGAATTTGGAATCATAGTACAGCCTCCAACTTAAAAAGTACTTTAGTAGGACGTCCTGCTGATTATGTTTATATTGCACACTCTTGGCTCAGCTCAGATCCACTAAAACATTCTTGAGTCAGAGGATAGTAACCCACTAAACTCACGATTTGATGCCCAACAGCCTTTATTTACGCAAGAAATTTTAATTAGGTAGACTTTGAATATTTGTCATTTTCATCTTCACATTTGAAAGACTAGAAAGAGTAAACAGCCCATCTTTTAATAAATTTAGAAACATACACTTGTCTATTCCTGTTTTCCAAGTGCTTAGCTGTGAAAAGCATTTCTGTTACTGGTTATGAGCCCATCAAGACTTTACTGTGTGGTCCAAGGATAAGAAAACATTTGCTGATACTTCATTTTTTGGAAGAAATGTCCCATATTTGGGGATGTAGTTAAGCAAGTTTCGCTGCACTGGCTGACTCATAGTGTCCTGGGTTTAGATGTAGTTCTGCAGTGGTGCATTTGTCTTCTGCCACTTCTTGTCTCTGAAGAAGTATATTTTAATTATGACTAAGGATAAGTTTGTTAGCCAGATAATGTTTAACTCAAGGACACATCTTTCTCACTTTCACCCCAGGGCATCCAATTAGAACTTTTAAAATCAGTTACTACAGAAAATATTTTTGCCCAAATGTCATATTTAAGAATAAAAATACCCTCCTTCGGTGATGCATACAAATGGCTGGATGGTGAAGCGGTCTACTGAACAGTTGGGTGAAGAAGAGTTCCCTTTGGGAGAAATTAACTCCAAATCTGGGCATTCCCTCCCTTGTTGGCTCAAGCAGAACCAAAGGGGTTATCACCCTGCTGAAGGCAACACTTGGCCAGAGAGATACTGAATATTCTAATGTTGCTTTTGTTAGGTTCTCATTTGATGTAGGGATGGGATGATCAAAAAGTGATCAGTAAGCCATGGGAATTTGGGGTATCATCACAATTGTATGGAACACATTAGAAAGTAGGCCTAGCTAGTGACTTTTGTTGAATGAATGGTCTTATAGACAATTTGCATCCAAGATGGGATTTGAAATTAACTTTTGAGGACACTTTTAAAAGAGGAGACATTTTGCAAAGAGAAATGGCTACCATAATAGGAATAGTACAGACACTAAGTGAAAAAGATTCAACTCTAACAAATAAACAAGGACATGATAGGATGGACTGCTTAATGACGATGTAGTTAATGCCCTTTCTGATCTTAGAAGACTATACACTGTACTATTAGGATGTACATTTAATGCTCTAATAAATATCAAAAATTATCAATGTACTACACTTCCACCGTGCTGCAGCCCAGTTAACAGGATTACCGAAATGCTGCTTTACTGTTATGAGGACACATGCACACACGGATGCACTGGCGACTGTCACAGACACAGTGGAGATTAACGAAACTGCTCCTAGTCAAGCTGCATGCATTTCAGTCACAGTATCTCTTAGACTCCAAAGAGTAGTACAAGGCTTCATGAATAATCACATAATATTATGGACAGGTAGATAGTCTCTAAGGGGTAGCTTTGAGAAAACCAAAGACCTTAAGCAAAGTAGAATATAAATGTTAACCACCATGTATGGTTGCTCAAGAAATTAAAAAACCTGCAAGGTTCTGTTTAAAAGATGCCCATTCCATTATAAGCCAGTATTTCCTATCTGCCAAGCTCCGACTTCAGAGTACTCTGTAAGAACTAGACACCCAGACGTACCACATGTGCTTCTGTGCTTAGTGTTTGTGTCGTTTTCAACTGAAAGAAATAAGAATCAACCATTTTAGCCATAGAATAATTTAATATATGCCAGCCAAACAAAGTAGTTTATCTTTATTCAATTAAATAAAAACAGACCTGTCAGGTATATTATATAACATTCACTATATACACATGATTTAGGCAATGCAAGGTAATTCTAAGTATGCTGACTTACTCACTATTAGTAAAACATGAATGGTGTCAGTGAGGCCCAGAGTGCTCCTTTTCACATTGGGTGCCTGCATTTCTGTAGTATGCTTAGAGGGACAGCCACGAGCCAGGACATATGTTACCAGTAAACTCCTGTGGGGCAGGGGGAGGGGGTGACAGTCTAGCATAGATTAACAGTCTCCTAAGTGTAAATAGGATACTTGACAGTTACATTTTTAAAAAGTTCTTCTTCCGTTAATGACACGAAATTTCTTGTTTGAAGGCAACACCACCACATTTTGTTTGTGAGTGGGGGTAGGTAGGGAATGTTCTTAAAATTGGTATAATTATTCTTAAAACAATAACAATAACAAAAAGTACCTCTTTGGTGAAGCCTCGGTACCCATTCAATTCACTGTAATAATCTGTAAACAGGACTGCAGTACAGTGCTGGGCCTTGATTTCAACAAGGCCAGGTACCACAGCCTTTTCTCACAGTCCTCTGAAGAATTTTTACGAAAATATTCTAAAGTAGAAGAGTAAAGCAAAGGAAACAAAGGAGGAGAAGATCCCTGTTTAAGATTTTTTAAAAGTGCATAATATTTTGAATTACAAAAACTGTCAACATATGGGCCTGTTGGACATTAGACTGTTTTCCATCCCTTTAATGATAAAGATTACTTCACAAAATGAGGACTCTTGCCTATTGGCCAGAAAAGTCCCTTCACGTGATTTCCAGGTGCAATCAGTTGTCCAATCCCTCTAGATCAGTCTCCACATTCTAGCTGGAATACCGTCTTATTTTGTAATTACGTGTAGGTTAAAATTCATTGTCTTATACTACATCTTGAAGTAGAGTCATTAGTGTTTGGAGTTCTCATTTGAACTCCTCAGTGCTGGCATGTTCAGTGCATCCATTGCCAGCAATGGATTTGGGGCTAGGAAGCTGTACACCCCAGTACAGAGGAAGTCAGGAAGAATGGGCATTCTCCAATAGTGGTGGTCCATCTCTGTGCATAGATGGGTGTGTGTGCTCCCTCTTATAAGTTTTTGGAGGAAGTTTGGGGATAAGTTGAGAAGTGCTTTGTCGTGGAGGGACAGGAGGCCCAGCAATAGGATGGAGGTCCACTTCCTGTGCCAGTGGTGGTGATGGCAGATGCCTTCTCGTGCCGTGAGGAGAAGGGGTTTGAGGAGGTGGTGGTGTAAAGGGGGAAGGGCTATTTGGAAAGAAGGCATTGCCATGATCACTCTTTTTGCCCAAAGGGGGAGGTTGGAGATGCAATGGTGAGCTTGAGAAAACATCAGGTGTCCTCACAGGTTCTCGCGGTGGTAACAAGGGAGGGCTCTCAGGAGGCTCTGACACAGAGGTCCGATCTGATAGTGAATATCTCGGTGAATAAGCTTTTGATGTGGGTTGCCTAGGAGGAATAGCTGGGGGGCTGTCCAAGTGCTTAGACATAATCTAACAAATGAAAAAGAATAGAACATGTGTTAATATAATTAAAAAAACATGAATATATTAAGAGTTAACTTGGAATTTTCATACATGCTACTGGCAGAACACTATGAAGAACAGAAGTTTTACCATATGTATTAAGTGAGATGTTCTACCCATTCTTAGAGGAAAAAAACCCTGATTTTGTCAAGATTAAGTCAAAAGCTTGTTGTTTACTGCTGGCTGCCTATCATACAACGCACCATGATTTCTGACTTAAACCAACCATTAGGTTTTGGCAGTGTACACATTAGGCAAACAAATTACCATAGCCCTAGTTACTAAGTTTTAAATGTACTGTTTTAATGTCTCATGAAATCTACAAGGTCTTGACTTATCCTGGTTCTTCTGTTCTCTGGGTAGCTTAAGACAATAAATTAAGTTAATAACTGGCAAAATTAAATAAACGATAAGGGAAAGGGGTATTTAAACTGGTAGGAAACTTAAAGTTATTATGAGTCTTTAGGATCTCTTCTAACCTAGCATTTAAGTGCCTTCTTATTGGCTTAAAGAATGGCTTTCAGCAGATACATAGTATAGTTTTGCTATCATATACCTTCACATAAACTCCACACCGCACCCCGCCCTTGGTCATACATTTTAGAAGAAGTGCATGAGGGCTGGAGAGGTATCTCAGCTGTTGAAGACTAGGTTCACAAACAAGATATGAAAGAACTGCATGAGATCAAGTTACTATTACCTTGTAGACTAAGACTTGTTTTTTCCCTTGATAATGCCCATAGCTGTAAATGAATAGTAGTTTCATATGCATACCCAAAAGCTACCTTTATAAAAAAAAAATCTTGCAGGCTAAATTTATATTTAATTCTTAAATGATTAAACCCAAATACTCTGAGATGTTAGCTTGTTGCAGCTGGAATAGACTTGACATAACAACTGACCGCAGCTAGTGTCCAATTTCTAGATAACAAGGTATTCTACTTTACCTTAGATGGGGAGGATTCCGCTGGGGCAGATTCTGGCCGTCTTCGAGGGGGAACAGGAGGGGGCACAGGCATTATTTCATCAGTGCCTTTGGCTAAACTTAAAGATGAGACTGAAGCAGATCCTGTAGGGTGTTAATTTAAAAACAAACAAAAAATGATTATAGGACTTTGATTTCACTTACTACTCTTGAAAAGATTTAGAAGCTTCTTATACTAACTAAAAGAAATACATTGAAATATCAAAAGTAGTTTTAATAAACCAATACCCAGCATAACATTCCATTTATTAAAATAAACTACTATAAAAGCATGCAGAAACTTCCTAGCAATGTTTAAAAGAAAAAGCCACTTAAAGTAATTATTTTTGCTTTTTAAACAAATATGTTACCATTGTTAATATATAATTGGAATTTTAATTGGGTCTGATTTTTAGATTTCTGTTGGATAAGTAATTTGAAAATCTTTGGAATGGTCATTTTTGTCAAAGTGTGGGAGGGTCATCTTTTTCTCTAGTTTTATTGCTCTCAAGGTCCTGGACTGGACTGAGCAGTTTCTAGAACAGTCTCTGGTCTTAACAACTCTGTTGAAATATTTCTTAGAGAATCTGGTACCCCGAGGTCTAGTCACATTTTGCTTGGTCCAGACTTTCATTAATATGGAAACATCATTAGAATCATCACATCTAAATCTAAAAACTTTAACCATGGTGAACTATTCAAAATGCCAGAGTATAGGGAGTATGCGGTAATGAAAACAGGAACTTTAAAGCCGGGTGGTGGTGGCGCACGCCTTTAATCCCAGCACTTGGGAGGCAGAGGCAGGCGGATCTCTGTGAGTTCGAGACCAGCCTGGTCTACAAGAGCTAGTTCCAGGACAGGCTCCAAAACCACACAGAAACCCTGTCTCGAAAAACCAAAAAAAAAAAAAAAAAAAAAAAAAAAGAAAACAGGAACTTTACTAAAATCTAGTAACCCTGATTTAAGACTAAGTTGATGAAATGGCAAAAGAGGTAAATAAAACTGGAACCCATCTAATGGGCATTTAGTGAATAATTATGCTTTGAAAGACAACACTTATCTATTGTTAGTTTATAAACACTATAAAAAGATATGAAAATATCTTAACATTCAAAACTGTACTTGGCAGGCTCTTTATTCCTTTAAACATTCTGTTCCCTTCTGCTATTAACTATTATCACAACACAGAATGTGAAGAGTACTTGTGTACTTATACTCAGATGGCCAACATTGTGTGTGCTGTGTGTATTGCTGGGGTGTGCATATTTGCAGGCCAGAAGTCAATGTTGGGTGTCTTCTTCTATTACTTTCCTCTTATTGTTTTGAGATAGAGTCTCTCACTGAACCTGGAGCTCATTGACTGGCTAGGTGGGTTGGCCATGAGTCCCTGGGGTTGGTCTGCCTCTAATTCATCCCAACTTTCCAACACTAGGATTTCTGGCATGTATCACCATGCTAAGATTTTATGTGGATTTTGGGGATACAAAGTCAGGTCTCCATGCTAGCACAGCAGACACTCTGCCCACTGAGCATCTCCCCAGACCATGACCAACATTTTGATCACCTTACTTTCTTAAGAAAATATACACAATTTTTTTAAGCTATAATTGGTATTTTTTGTTGTATATATTTTGAAATCATTTGTACAAAGATTTGTTAGTTTAAAACAATTAAAAATAGAATTTAAGTGAATTGTTTACTTTAAAACTAAAAGCAATTAACTGAAACAGCACTTGATTTCTCTAAATATTTAAGGCTTGCAACTAGTTATGTATTTATATATATATTATATATGTAATTATATAATCATAGTCCTTATGAAGTTAAATGCAATTATTTGCCTGCACTAAATTGTCAGCAGTAGACTTTTTAATCCGACATTGCATGTAGCTGCCAGCTTCCCCATTGCGCATGCACGCTTTTGCTTCTTTTATAAAGTTTGAGAAGGAAGTATATTTAGAATTGTACAGTTGGAAAAGAGAAATGGTTAAATGTGGAAGCTGCTCCTTTAATAGGTTCTTTTTAAAAGGTTTTGTAAAAAGCATGAAAAGTCTATAAATTTAAGCCAATTCTTCATGGTCAAAAGACAGCAGCAGTGAAGGCTCACTTCAAAGATGGGGCAGGGATGAAAGGTCAGCAGGGAAGGTGACCCTCGGCCTGGTTTCTAAAGCCAAAGCAGGAGTTAAGTGTTAAACCAGATATACTGACTTGGGCCATGGGCCAGTGTAACGTGGGTAAAGACGGTATCGCCGCCTGTAAAAAGGAAACAGGAAAAAGTTGTTTTCTCCCACTAATATTCTCAGCTCATCTATAAAAATGTATGTTCTTGCCATGTTAGTTTTAAAGAACATCATAAACAGTTTTACTAAAAGCTCATTAATACTTTTGAGAGAAAAAAAGGAGTTACTATCATATTGGGAACTTTGAAGTTTTTCTTAATGTCATAAATGAAAAACATTCATTAAAAAATAGTATGATACTGTGTTTTTGAAAGACTCTTTTACACTTATTTGTGTGTATGTACATGTGCCACAATATGTGTTCTCAAGTCAGGACAGGACACAACTCGCAGGAGTCAGTTTTCTTCTTCACTCTAAGGATTGCAGGGTTTGAATTTAGGTTGTCATGCTTGGTGGCAAGCATCTTAATTTCACCTGCCCTTCTGGAAAGCGCTGTAAATTATAAAACCCAATTCATGGGGTGAAGACTCAAATCATTTAATAAGAGATTAAAGGGAGAGTCAGGCAAATATTATCTTATACCTTTGAAAATATGTTTTTGGAACATATATTGTCATTATAAAATATTCAGGGTTTTGAATATTAAAACAAGCTTCTGTATTCATAAACACTTTAAAATTCAGTATATATTTGGTTTTTACCAAATTTTACTTTTTAATTTAGGAATTCCTTGATAAATCTGAAATATTTCAAAAATATTCTTTTAAGAAAAATTAAGGACTTTATTTATGAGTTATTAATAATTAATTTAAGTCCTAAATTATTCTTAAAAGGAAACAAAACAAACAAACATTAAAACAGTGGTTCTCATCCTTCTGTGACCCTTTAATACAGTTTCTCATGCTGTGGTGACCCCAACCGTAAAATTATTTTCATTGCTACTTCATAACTGTAATTTTGCTACTGTTATGAATCATAATGTAAATAATTATTTTGGAGATGGAAGTTTGTTAGAGGGTTGAGAATCATTACATTAAAATATAGGAAAACCGGGCTAGAGTCCTGAGGCCAGTTCTAAACCATCACGGCTACCCTACTTCAGCACCAACGCACGGAACAGAAAATAATCTTACAGTGCTGCACTGACCTGAGCATAAACATTCACATTTCCCGCTCACTTTTTATGACTAATATTATTAATGTTCACAGGTATTTTGCTTGCATGTATGTTTGGATGAGGGTGAAGGATCCCCAGAAATTGAAGTTACAGATAGATGTGCGCTGTCATGCGGGTGCTGGGAACTGAATCCAGGTGTACATTACCGTCCTCCTGACCAAAAGCTGGAAAAATCTCCCAAATTAATTGCGTTATTGCAATTTATTTATAATTTATATAAAAAGAAATGAAAGGTGGTGCTGGAGAGATGGCTCAATGGTTGAGCTCTGCCTGCTCTTCCAGAGGTCCTGAGTTCAATTCCCAGCACCACAATGTGGCTCATGACCATCTATAGAGGGATCTGATGCCCTCTATCTGCATGTATGATTTTATGTCAGAAGAGCACTAATATAGACTAGATAAACAAATCTTTAAAAAAAGAGAAGCGTTGAGCTGGATAAAATGTTTTTAAATCAGTGTCTGTTTGACCTTATCTGGCAGCTTCCTATGTGTACAATGTAACTCCACAGTCCTATGTGTGTAATGTAACTTCCTGGTCCTCAGTTGCTAAATAAAGCCAAGTAAAGTCTCACAAACACAAGATCCACTGCCAGCTGAGGACAGATGTGTGCATACTAGGAATTACACAGGATTCTGGGCCAAATGTCAAAGCAATTAATATATCTGCAAAGAGTGACAGATTTTTAGTTGGTTTCTCTGGGTTCTACAGAAAATAATATGAACATACACACAATCACAGAGATTATTTTCCACCCACTCTGAATTACTTAAAAGTTTTATCACCTACTTGAGTGAAAAGGGCTTGCTGAATGGTCGGAATCAAACACGCTGCAGACATCTGTGGTACTGGAAGCACCAGAGGCAGGAGGAGGTGTGAGTGGCGTTCTTGGAGAATTTGGTGCAGAAGCTGTGCTTTCGGTCTCACTTTCAGGGATCCTACTGTAACTAATTTTTCTTGGCTCCTGCTGCAGAGGTGTGGGATGTCGCATGGTTCCTGGTCTTGGATTTGATGGACGAACACCAGGGGATTTTAGGGGATAGCTGTATTTTTTTGGCTATAGACATCAAAAACAAAAACAAACTACAATACTTAAAACATCATGGCTAAAAGGAAGGTTTTTCTCTATTCTCCTGGTAAAATTCAACTAATAGTTAAGAGAATTATAAATTATCAATATGAACATTTCCTCATGACTCAGCTCAGAGTACCCCAAGTGACAGCACTGTCACATCTCTCTGCTGAAGGGCTGGCTGTATAAACCCTTAGAAAGTGATGTATTCAAATAAGGTTTAATATAAACACCAGAATGTTCCTTAATGTAGCATCTTGGTGGATAGAAATTTTTCTGAAAGTACATTATATAATTCCCTGGCTTCATGTTGTTTGGTTTTTTGAGACAAGGTTTCTCTGTGTGACAGTCCTGGCTGTCCTGGAACTCACTTTGTAGACCAGGCTGGCCTCAGCCTTCAAAGTACTAGGATTAAAGTTGCCTGCCACCAGCACCCACCCTCCCATCCCTCAGCAAATTCCGTTTTTTAAAAAATACTATTTGGGGTAATTAAACCTTGTTGGAAAAGCCATAGTCACCATGAACTGTGGTTCCCGGCTGTAATACAACAGTACCATTAGCCCATTAGGACCTGGTCTGCTTACAGATGCAGTGAGTTGTCTGCATTTTCTTTAATCTCTGTGCGTATTCTAACTCTACAGAATGACCACTTCACAGTGATGTCACAGTGTCTCACTGGAGTCGACATATGTATTAGGTTTATGTTTAAAAGCCGTTTTAAAGTTTCAAAAATCTGATGGGAGTCACAAACATTATAGTTTATTATGACCACTTAGAAACGATTTATATTTACTTTTTGACTCTATCAGTGAGGAGTAATAAGCTTGACAGGCACTGGCAAATTACTACAAAACAAAAGAACTATTAGAAGTATCTTTACGCAAAATTTGCTAACTCATGGATCATTTCATTACTTTAAAAAATCCCAAGTAAATATACTTACTGTAAGTAAATTAGTATAAACTTTTTAAATTCCATGCCTTTGAAATAAATTTTAACTTTTGTTAAAACTAAAAATAGCTCCGGGTGGTGGCGCATGCCCCAAGCACTCAGAAGGCAGAGGCAGGCAGATCTCTGTGAGCTTGATGCCAGCCAGGCATACAGAGCGAGTTCCAGGACAGGCACCAAAGCTACACAGAGAAACCCTGTTTCAAAAAACCAGGGAAAAAACAAAAACAAAAACCTAAAAGGAGCAAACTATAAATTTACTCCCATCTATCATCATATCATGAGAATTTATTGAAATTAGTATTAGTGTTCATTTATTTGGAAATGAGTAAGATATTCCTGACTATACATATTAATTACTTTTAACCATCACATTCATCTCATCCCTAAGTGCTTTCACAGAACACTAACCTACACGATACATGCTATGGACCTACACTGGTACTGAGGGGACCCCAGATGGAGATGACAGCTGTACCAAAGGTATAAAACCGCGAATATGTGAGTGCTTACAAATCTCGGGAGAGGCTTAGGGTTCCGTGGTTCTATTTCTAGGGATTTGTTGAAAAGATAGTCTGTGAATTCTTTCTCCATGCTATTTCCCATTGGATTCAAGTTTTCAAAGAATCTCTAAAATAAATGCAAAAAATAATTATTAGTATTAAATATTCTTAATTAAATTTCAAATTTATGAAAATAACAGGATATATTCAACATAAGAAAATTTGAATTATTTGACTATAAATTTTATTTTCCCTTTTCTCCTCTGCAAAATAAACTTGGCCTGTCTGAGGCATTGTGTAAAATTGCTCAGAGAAACATATCCTCACACAATTCAACTTACTTTGATATCTGACTCAACCCGTAAACAGTAAGGCTGGTTTTGGTACTGCTGGATCTCCCCTGTTATCTCTGCCACTTTCCTCCTCTTGCTGAAGTTGATGAGCTCTTTCCCATGTCTCTTCAGGACTTCAGGGTTGCCTTCTTCTGTTTTCAAGATATTAGTGAGATAAATTCCTACAAGAGACCATGAAATTACTTCACGGGTAAAGAAGGAAAAAGTTTTTGTTTTGTTTTTTTCTCTCATTAACTGTAGGGATTTATGCAGACAGTCATAATAACCAAAGAACAAAGACCCAGATTTATATGAAAAACAACAAGCTCAGTGAATAGCAACAGAAGTATTTCTGTATGAAATCCTTCTGTAAAAGACCCAACCTTTGTAAACATTCAAAGAAAAGGAGATCAAGTTTCAGAAGTAGATATTTTTAAAGAAAGAATAACCACTCTTCCACACTCCTCAAACCACCACTACATGATTTGTAAAAGAAAACTTTTTTTTTTAAAAGAAACTTAATAATGTTGTTACTGATGATGTATATTATTGCCAAAGGGGGGAATCCTCCAACTCAGAAGGCTATATTTTCTGCGTATTCAATTTTTAGTCTCACTATTTGGAGATGATCATGTTTGAACAGGCTTACTTGTGGAAACATAAAAAAAAAAAAGACATCAAGTCTGTCAAGCGCAGAGTGACATATAATTTGTGCATATTTTAGATTTAGTATACCTGGTGATATGCCTGGCCTCAAAACTTGTTATGCAGCTGGTTATGACTGAACTGGATGACTGAACTTACCCTTCTGGCTTCAATTCCTGAGCACTGGGATTCCAGGCACACATCACTGCATCTGGCTTATGTAGTCCAGGGGATTGAACCCAATTGAGCCACACCATAGTCCCCCTTCAGCTCTTATTTTAGTGCCTTTTTCTTCCTGGCACAGAAGTTCTAGAGCCAGCTATGCTGCTTTCTACCTGTGCTAGCTCACATAGATTCCTTAGTCTCTCTGCCTCAGCTCTTCATCTCTAAAATTTAGAGTAGTTCTGACAGAAAAGAAAGTGTCCATTAATAACAGTTGAAGCTGCTGATGTTGGTATCTGAGTAACTTCCCTCCCAGATTACACACTGCTGCTCTCAGGAAGGGGTGGGACACAAGGTGTGGTTCATTCACTAAATATGAATGCACTGCCTTGCTGTCGTATGTTAATTATTACATTAGTTACTGCAGATAAAAAAACAGTTGGGGGTGGGGTGGGGTGATCTCAGAGAATCCAGAGCTCTGAAGATGGGGCACTATGGTATAGTTTTGCAGGTGCTGTATTAGGAAATGCAATGCTAGCAGGAATGTTTCAGATGCCGTGAGAGTGCAAATGAAGTACCTTTTCCTGTCTGAAGTTGTTGGGATTAGAAAAAGGATCATTAAATTCACTCTCAAAAGTGAGCTAAGAGTTAAATGGGTAGAATTAAGAGGGAGATAAGCGGTGTGGCACTAGGCATGGTAAAACATGGAGGGCATCCTCAGAGTAGGTGTCTGGTATGGTTATAGCCGAACGGTGTATTTATTGTGTAGTGTGAAAGAAGCTGGAAGGATGTTAGACAGACAAGGTCAGTGGTTCTAATGCTTAGCAGTAAAGGAGTACTTCTAAATTATGTCATATTTTTCTTTTATTTTTAAAGTGTGTGTGTGTGCGCGCGTGCACATGCACAAGCATGCCATAGCATAATTGTGTGGAGCTGGTTCACTTCCATGTGAGTCCCGGGGATTGAACTCAGGTTGTCAGGATTAGCATCAGGAACCACTGCCAGATTACCAGACCTAAATACTGCAAGATTTTTGGGTCACATTCTTTAAAAGATGAAATGACTCAAGCCAGTCATTAAAAGTCAGCAAGAATAAGGTAAGACTGACATCAGTGCCTGTTCGGTTGGGCACATGATTTACTTGTTTGTTTCTCAGCACCAGGGCCACTATTCAAGGTATGTTCATAAAACAGTTATTATATACTGTAGCATAGGTTCTTATGCTTTGTAACAAACATGCCCTTAAGACTGCATATTCAATGGCAGCCAAAATCAAATTAGTCTCAAATTGAAGTGTTTATAGATAGTAACATCTGGCACTCAGAATTGTGAAATATCTTTTGTTAAGTTTAAATTTCATTCTGGGTATGGTGGTATAAGGATATTAGGTCATCTTAGATTACACAACGAGTCTCTGTCTTGAAAAAGAAAAAGGTTAACTCCTATCGAGGAGATAATGAGTAGAAACATCTTTGCATTACAGGCTTGCCAGCTGCACTGAATTCCAAAGAAGAGCAATTTGTAGGCTGTAATATTTTGTGTGATTGGAGGTAGTAAAGGGCACAAAAATTCAAGATGTAGACCCTATAAGAATTTAGCAACTGAGACCGGAGAGATAGCTCAGTGGGTAAATGGTCTTGCTTTTCCATGACAGGACTCATCTGGTTCCCAGCCATGTCAGCTGACTCCCGACCACCTTTAACTACAGTCTCAGAGAATCTGACACCCTCTCTTGATCACTGGGAGTGTCTCCCCACACACATGGTGCACACACACACACACACACTCCCCAAATACAGTTTTAAAAGAACTACTGGTTTAGACAAGGGAAGGGCACAGAAGGAAGACTAATTCTGTGCTGAGGTGGCTGAAGTGGTACAGAGACTGACTGTATGGGAAAACAGGATGTTCACAGGTGTTACAAACAACAAAACACTTGGATGAAGCTATAAAAATTTAAGTAGCACTTTGGAAAACCTCAGATAAAATTTGAAAAAATATTTTATCCCTGATTAATGACTAGCCAAAAGAACATAGTCGTGGTAGTACTACTGTCCAAACTTGGTTGATCAAACACTGCATCTATATAAATTTTTAAATATATGCGACTTTTTAATTATAAGGAACATTTGTATGTGCACAGATGATAGAGACCTCAATATTATATACTAGCAAGCTTAATTCTTTTTATTTTATTTTATGTGTATTTTGCCTGCATGTATGTCTGTGCACCAAGTGCATGCATAGCCAGAAGAGGGAGTTATGGACAGCTGGACCCCACCCACCATGTGTGTACTAGGAATTGAACCTGGGTCCTCTGGAAGAACAGGCAGTGCACTTAACTGTTAAACCGTCTCTCCAGTCCCATCAAAGTTCGATTCTTTAAGAAAAAAACATTTTTGTGTATGTGTGCATGCATGTAAAGATCTAGACATGACTTATGTCTATCAAATAGTGATCTAAGTGGCCAAATTATCTTGTGTTCTGAAATAATATAATTCTTTCATTCACTCAAACATTTGCTGAATGCATCCATGTGTCAGGCCCATGGTTAGGTGCTAAGAATAGACAAGAGTTTTGCTCCTTGGAAAGAGCTAAAAAACTAAGCTACTATGCTATAAGCAGAACATTATATTGCAGAGGTATATGCATCAAAGTATGAACAAACTGCCAGGGGACATAGAGCCCTGAGTCGCCTTTTACTGCTAGGAAGGCAGGGAAAAGTAGTGGTCAAAAGTTAAGCTCACCCTTCTTTGTTATTATGTCACTGTGTTCTGTTTTCCCCATCCCCACATAACTCCAGAGTATGTAAATGGATCTGTTGACATACTGGAAATAATACATTGAATCACAAATGTCAAATAGTCATTTTAATAGATGACACAATAGTCATATTAACTTTATGGATAGCATGCAGCCACTATAAATGATATGAAAGATTATTTAAAGTATAAAATATACTTTGGAAGAATATGGGAAAAAGTAACATATATAACACACAATTACATACAATCTACACATAAAAAAAAAACCCACAAGCAGACCAGGCGTATTGGTGAACACCTTTAATCCTAGCACTCAGGAGGCAGAAGCAGGCAGATCTCTCTACGGTTGACGCCAACCTGGTCTACAGAGCGAGTTCCAGTACAGCCAAGACTACACAGAGAAACCCTGTCTCAAAAAACCAAATGCCAAAAAAACAAAAAAACGAACAATCAAGAAAAAACAAGCAATCAAAAAAAAAAGCAAATTTAAAATATTTAGTTATAAAGCTGCAACAATAAAATATGCACTATAACTTAAAAGTATATAGAAAAAAATCATCGATATAGCTATGAAAAAATTTGCCGAACAGTGAAAGTCAAACAAAAGAGAGATCAGTTTCTACAAACCAGAGCATGTACAGGGGCAGGGGAGGGGCTGGTTCAAGGGCTGGGGTATAGCTCTGGCAGAAAGAGCATTTGCCTGTGGATAAGCTCTATGTTCCTAACACTGAAGTGGGGTGAAAAGGTATGTGTGTTGGGGGGCAACATGAAAAAAAATACTGAAAGTATATAATGTAGGGAATAAGTAACTGGAAGAAAAAGGAACCTACAAGCAGGCAGCAGACTGAAGTACCAGTCTTGAGTCTCTACCCAAGAGAAGCAAAAGATTCAGATGGGAGACTTAGTCTTGAAAGGAAGAAAGGCATTCATCCTCCTGTGCAAAGGAGGGAGATAAGGGGCTGGTAAAATTAAAATCCCAATGTGCTGAAGTTACTATTTCAAAGGCATATACAGTGAATTTCTAGATATGTGTTTTATTAGGTGATTAAATACAAATATGGAGATATGGTCACACTTCTACTTTATCAAAATTAAACTACAAGGCAAGTCATGGTGGTGCACATCTATTATCTCAACCACCAGGAATGCAGAGACAGGAAGATTGCAACAGTTATAAAAATAATGAAAACATTGCAAGATTCCAAATACATGAATGACATAACCCCTGCTGGCTGTCAGGTGAGACTAAACAGGGAGGTGTGTGCAAGCCGAGTCCTCGTCTGAAATGGACTTGCTCTGCATGTGGAGTGTTTATGGATATCCTGGGTGTGGGTTCCAGGGCTAAAGAGAAAATTCATTTATAGACCACACATGCTGTACATCTATGGCCTAAATGTTGGATGTAACCGTTTTCAGATAGGGTTCTGCTGTGTAGTCCAGGGTGGACTCACATTCATGTGTGCTACCACACCCGTTACCTTACAGTGTCTGTGGTGACTCCTGAAACAAGGTTAGATATGGTATTTCCCACTTTTGGTATCACCTCAACAAGTTTTAATTTTTTGAACTTTGTAGATTTTTATATTAGAATGCTCAATCTATAGTAGATCTGATATTTTAAAAGTCCTAACATAAAAATTCTGAAGGGATTCATGTTCTACTTCCTATACTCATTTAATAAAATGTCTTGTTTTATCTAGAATCACAATAAAAATTAGGAAAAGATACTTACCAAAGAAAGGCACACATGGTGGATTAATAGACCTGAGTTTTGCCAAATATTTCTTATAGTGATCTTCACTCAACTCATGAGCTTCTTCTAAAATTTTCTTTTGTCTACTTGGTATTTGCTATAATAAAAAAAAATTAGGAGGCCTCAATTGTACAAGGGATTGCAAATCTTGCCAAAAAAATACCCAACTAACCATTATGACCCATTCATATAAGTTTGACTACAAGAATACTAGTAATGCTTTTTATTTTCTAGTTTATATTTGGAGACAAGCTCTCGCTGTGTATTCTTGGCCAGGTTGGAACTCACTATGTAGGTTATGCTGGCCTCAAACTCATGGATCCACCTACCTCTCCTTTCCAAGTGGAATTAAAGGCATGAATGACCACACCTGGTTAATGCTGTTTTTCTTTTAAAGTTTTTTTTATTACACTTTAATATAAACTTAAAAATGTGCATGATATAGCATATCTATCTTGCCACCCCTCCTATAATTCATGTGAATGTTAATTGAGTTTGACAAACTGCTGGATGTAGGTCTGCAGACAGACACTTGGTATTCAAGTCTGGTGATCTGATTTTGACCCCAGAATGCCATTGAGATGGTAGGAGGGAACCTACTCCACAAAATCATTTTGACCTCATGTGTGCCTATGGTAGACACCTGAGTGTGCACACACACAAAATTAAGAAAATAAAATGATGAATGTTTTATTTTCTAACAAGTTGGAACCTATGAATGAATAAGAACATTTAATTTAAAAAGAGAAACCATTCATTATGAAATTTAGGTAAGTCCATTTTTAATCTATTATTGAAAAAACAAATGAAACATTTATAAGTACCATAATTGTTAAAATTCTGATTTCCCATTTTATTAAATTAATTATATACAATGGCAGACTTAATTATGATATTTTCATGCATGTCTGCAATGCACTTTGATTGCATTCACCCAGATCTCTTTCTGGCCAGTCCTCCTCCCCATGGAACCCTTCTTTCCCAACCAGTCTTCCCTTCTACTGTCAGCCCCACCCCCAAGTGATCCACTGAGTTAATTAGGGTAGCTTTACAGGAACATGGGTGAAAGGTTACTTATGGAATACAGGTCCTTACCACTGAAAAAGAATTTCTTGCTCTCTCAGCAACCACTAACTACAGTTATATCCTGTGGAAGAGATAGGGCCGTATACTCCCCTCCCCAGCTTTTATGTCAGCACAGCCCAGTTTGGTACAGTCTTATGCTAATAACCATAGCTCCTGGGGATATAATGGCTATGCCATGCAAATTCTTGTTGTTACAACAAGCAGTGGAAGATCATATGAAAACACATGTACAAACCTACCTCAAATGTATGGTCTAGCCTGTAAACAGGGGATGAGTTCATAGCACTGACAACTTCAAGAACACCATTGAAGTTGTTCAGCTCTTGAAAGACTTGTAGAATCTCAATTATTCGACTCACCACAGCTACTCTTTCTTCTAAGTTTTCTGTTTCTACAATGCATCTAGGAATTGAAAAGAATTAAAAATATGAATTTTCCCAAAAAGCTATGATTCAAAAGGTTTTAATGAAAATAGTAATCTAGAGAGTGCGTGTGTGACCACAGAAAAGACATTTACAGCAGTACACTGGGTTGACAGAATGCAGAGAAAAGCAGGCTTCTGGTGGAGCACGTACTCGTTCTGACATCTAAACTACTACAGTCGGACACCCATCCCCAATATATTTAGCACATCCTCTATCATCAGAATTAGAATAGTTAAGATCTTACTGAATGCTTGTCATTTACGTGTGCTCTAGCATGCTTATTCTAGAACTGTTGCTTCCTCTGTGTGAATGTATACACAATCGTATTTCAGTGATTGATTTCTGTGTTTGCCTGAACAAAGTCTTTTTATGTAGCTCAAGATGGCCTGGAACTGGTATGGTAATATTTTTGCCTCAGTCACGTGTACATCATCATATCCAGCTTAATTTTGTTTTCTGATATATAGAAATAATTGGCATTGTTTGTAGAAATAGCTCTTAAGATAACCATTGGTATATTGCAGAGTCAGTTGAAATATTTTACTAAAATAAAAAAAAAAAATAATAATGTCAAGAAAGGTACCACAATGGTATGGTATATACCATGTATTAGACTCTGGATTCAGTTCCCCAGAACAAGAAGCAAACAAAACAAACTACTTAGAAACAATTAAAGGAAAAGCACTTTGTTTTTCACATACTGCGTATCTATATATTAATTTATTATACAGAATGATATAAAATATGTGACATCATTATTTTCCCATCAAATACTGTTAAGTATGGTTGATCAGCAACTGCAAACCCCAGCACTTGGATGGCTGAGGCAGGACTGCATCACATCAGCCTTGTAGCACACAGTGAGCTCCAGGATTGCCTGCTCTCAAACAAACACACACACTCAGCATTTACTCTGTCTTTCTGTTTGAGAGAACTTACTTATTGTCAGTAAAGAAAAAAAAAATACATCTAGTTTCTAGTGATATTAATAGTTTGTAATCTAAGAAAAATTAAGTGTAAAACTAAATAATATCATTAAATTTCTATAATGGAAAGCCACAGATTATACTGTTTCTTGATGAGGCTAACATAATACCAAGAATAAAATCACTCTACTTGAAACCATCAAAATAAACAGCTTATTATCAAATTAAACGTAACATATTTATATATGAAGAAATTCTATACAAATATATTCCAGCTAATTTATCAGGTGACTAATTTAAAACATGTACTACAAATATGACTTTTATCTTTAACTATTACTGAGTACAAATTATGATCAGCTGCAATGCTTTTTATTCCACATCAACTGAACTTGGAGCTCAGAAGCACTGAGGTCAAGAAACAAGAATCTGTCACACTACAAAGAAAGGGAATGGTTTTCCCTTAAACAGGCCGTTGAAAAGGTCCAAGGACATAATTAGTTACAGTTCTCTTTCCCAGTAAGACACATTACAGTTACTATGGTAAGAAAGAGCTTCTGTAAATTAAAATATATCAACTTTAAAATGAAACCAGGGAGCAACATTTTTGGGAGAAAATTCTAGTTTTTCTTCTTAGAGGTAAATTGTCTCTGACAACATAAACAAACTCTCACTTCATGTAACTTCACTGCATCAGGTCTTCCTCCAGTCTGTTTCATATGCTACCTGCTGCTTGTTCTTATAATCCCAATACAATCTGTGGAAGTCACATCTTTACAAAATATATAATAGTCAATAGACAGAGTTAAAGTTTCCAGACCCCATTTTTAAAAAATGCATCCATTTCTTGGTTCTATCATAACATTCCAGTTAAACTATTAAAACAAACCACACCCACCCACCCTAACTCACAGTACTCAGGAGTCTCTGAAGATAGGCCTAAGAACAAGCTACAAATGAGATATTGTCTGTTTAGGAAAATCTATAAAATAATATGTAAAGAAGAGAGAATGGGCTAATTCAACTAAAATTGTTCCTCCTCCCCTTCCTTCCTCTGAAGAATCCGGATCCAGATGTTGTAGTTAAGACCACCTAGTTACTGCTTGGGATTTTCAGGGCGAGGGGGTGGGTAGCTGGTTCCTACCCTGAGGAGCAGGATTTTATTATCTGAGTGCAGTTTAGTATTTATTTACTTTATAGTATATATTTAATAGTTCGGCTTTGAAGACTCCCTCCTTTTGCCAACTTATGAGCTGAGACTGTAGGGTAATTAGAACTCTGAGAAAAGAGTTTTGTCTGGCTCCCAATATAGTGGTTCCATGCCAAGAGGCAGGTTAAGAGAACCTGAGGCCACAGTACCTAACCCTCTCCTCTCCAGAACATAGGCACACAGACAGCTCCTAATCTCTTACCATTCTTATTCTTACAACAGAGAGTTGAGAGTTTAAACCTAAAGGTGTGTTCAGGAACTGTGGAAGTTGTCTTGAAAGGCACCTGGGAAGAAATTTGGAGTAACAAAGAAGAGATATAGTCTCAAATTGCATTATCTAATTTTCTCAAGAGAACCAGGAAGGTAGTTGGAGAGGGAACCTCCTGGGGTTAGAACAAGTATCAGTAGAAACATTATCTTCCAAGAAGCCAGCATTTCATTGGTTTATTCTGCACAGCAATTTGTGCTACCAGGAAACTCTTCATAACAAAAGAGTGAGCATGGAAATTAGTAGTTCAATATTTAACAGCTTGGGGTGTGCAGTCTAGGAGGGAGTGGATGTGAGCCATACCAGACCTATCTTCCCAGAGTTGACTATGGACACCCCAGATCTAACTGCTTAGTTTACTTCACATTGAGTAGCAAAGAGAGCTGTAGAAGGCAGAGGGCAGTACTGGAAGTTGTTGTATCCACTGTGAAGCACATAAAGAAATACAAAGTATTACCTAAACACTGGACTAAAAGCAGGGAGCAGATATTGCCTATGTGAGTGACCAGATGTCAAATTAACAGAAAGATTTCAAAGTTACTATCAAAGAATATGCTCATGGAACTAAAAAGGACAACCGTGAAGATGAAAAAGAAGGATAATGACAACATCTATCTAGAAAGAGTATCATGAAAGTAGTAAAAATTATTAAAAGAACAAATTGGAATCTTGGAAATGAGAACCTGGAGAGCTCAATAGTAGATATGACCTGACAGAATAAAAATTAGCTAATTTGAAGATACAGTTATTGTTCAAAACTAAAGGCAAAATATTTAAATAACAACAATAAACCCCGCACCTGTGTTGCTAGTTGCACAAGAACGCTAAAGAAAGTTCTCTTCAGGCTGAAAACAAGTGAGCACAGATGGCCATTTGAATCTACATAAAGAACACCAGTAAAGGTAATTATATAATAATAAAAACACACCAAATGACTAATTTTTTTCCTTCACTTTTTCCCCTTTTACCTGGTTTAAAAAGCAACTGACTTAATATATATGAATGTACTTTTGGGTCCACAGTGCATGTAATACCCTGCCACCAGCAGAACAAAAAAGACGATGAAAAAAGTCATTTAAGGTTAAGATGGTGACAGCAGATGGGGAAGTAATAGTTGTAAGGACGCACTGCTGGGTTCGCACTATTAACTAGGTGTACCCGAACTACAGAAAGGAGAGGAGCTAGAGACACAGGTAGGAGGGCATCTGCCTGCTGGAATGAAGCTGCAGCCCACTCTGCTCCAGGCGACCATTAGAAACTAAGATGCACATCAGGAAACTATTCAGTGCATAAGAAAGGGAATGAAAGCACAGCAGACGTGACATACAGATGCAAAACAGCCTAGCCATGGCTACAAACAAAAAGGCCAACAACACTTACTTTTCAAACCACAGAGTGAGGTTAGTAGTGTGCCGTATCATTTTCAGGAGGTTGGGAGAATTGATTTCTTTATCTTCTTTCGTCCACACACTTCCAACTAATTCCGACGGCTGCACAGCTCTAAAATCAACCAACATAAGCGCCACATCACATTCCTCTTCAGTATATACATAAGAAAAAAACTAAACTATTTTATAAGTGTTCCTCTTTTACCAGAAAATTGGTGAAAACAAGATAAATATTTACAATTTTTCCTTTTATGTTTTTAGATTTAAAATATTTTGGTAGATACTCTTGCATAATGCATTTATTGCTTGCTCATTTGTTTATTTTTAAAGACAGTGTCTTCATATGTGGCCTTGCCTAGGTTCTTGCTATTTAGCCCTCTGCCTCAGCCTCCCGAGTGCTGGATTACAACATATATCATCATGGTGGCTCTCTGTATTTATCGCATACTTTTGCATAACGTCTTTCCTGGCACTTATAAATATTATTTACTTAAGTTAGTAAGGCAGTATTTAAATAGTATCTAATAAGTAACCAATGAGAATACAGTAAGTACTAAAATTCATTTTTGGTTTGTTTTGATGGTGTTTGTTTTTGCTTTTAAGGTAGGTAGAAAAGAAAAACCATCCTGGCAAAATAGTCTCTGAAAATTAAATTTAAAAAATCTAATTAACATTTGGAGACCATGATAAACTTAGGAAGAAAAAATTATAAATTGAGCTCCTTTTCTCAATTAGCGGTTAATATTTTTGAGATTTTAGGTAGAATTTAAAACCAGAATCATATTTTTCAGATGGTTTCACCGATGAACAATATTAAAGTAGAAAGGGCTGTAACTGGACATAACTTTAAGCGGTAGTGGCTGTATGTGGTACTATAGTGACTACAGCAGTAGTTCCATGGCCCTGCACTGCGCTCAGTCTTGGGCACACACTGGAAACCTCACAGTCCTACAAGTTACTACAGTCTTTGGCCTCAATTTCCTTGCAGGAAACAAACAGAAAATCAGTTCCACAAGGAAACTAAAGCCAGCAATTGCTACTGCCAGGATTTGAACTGAGCTTACCAAGCAGGGGTAACTGTAGAAAGTGCACAAAGTTAAGTAGATCAAGGGCAATCAAGGACGACCAAGGGAGCAAAAGGACCAGAACTGTCTGCTATGCCTTATATATCATCTACTCTCGCATTTTCATCTCAAGATAACCCTAACAGGCAGAAAATGTATTCCATTTTAAAAATGAACTTTTGAAATAACTTCTCAGCTTGAATGTTGAACAACATACCGGTATAGATCTGATTCAAGTAAAGTGAGTTGTCGAGCAATTTCTATTGGGTGTAAGGTGAGCAAGTCAAAAGTCTCTATGTGCCCAGGTCTGCTTATGTGCCACTCAACTGTGGGAGGCGAGCTCTGAAATGTAATGTTAGGACCTGGGCCATTGTCTCTCGCAATTTTTTTCCTTTGGATTATCTTAGTGATGGATTCGACCCATTTTTTCATTGCTTTACCTGAAATACATTTTAACAGACATTTAAATACTCTTTAATACTTTATTTTTAAAAAATGTTTAAAGTTAACACAAGTGATACATGAATAAATCATTGCTATAAAGTTCAAATGAACAAAGTAAACACTAAAGAGTTCACCCACCCCAACTTGCTCTCATCCTTTTCCAACAGGTAATCATTGTTAATAGTTTGGCGTGTATCTAGACCCTTCCTAAATGAATATAAAAGGTAATTTGATATTTCACCGCCAACATTTTGAACCTTAGTTCAAAATACTATATTTATAATCCTTCCATCCAACGTATATTCCATACAAACTAAAAGATTAATAAAAGTAGATTACACACATTCACGTATCTAATTAATACTGCATTTTATAACCCAATTATGAGGACTGATTGATCATATTAGTCTCCTGTTTGATATGGCTGTCTTTTGTACTGTACAGGAAAGTAATCTACTTAACCTTTTATTTTCTGATTTTCATTTAGACTGAATACTGGATAATAAAGTCAGGTTTGCTAGAGTACCTTTAAAGTCACATAATCACAGCATTTTTAAAGTAAAGGAAACTGAGATACAATTAACCCTAGTTTCTCAAGAGTAAACTAAAGTCTAAAGAATTGAAATTATGTATCTGGCTAGTGATTGATGTTAAAAAAGTAGTCTGTCAGTATGATACGTGGTATTTATTATCTCTCTGATCTTCTCTGTTTACCCAACCACACACTTTTATCATGTGCTACAGTGAATTCCTGCATGTACCTGTAGGTAGCACATGGTTCAATTAAGTGGTCTAACTTGAACTGAGACCCAAGAGAACCAGTTCTGAAACAGATGAAAGGATGCTGAGTCAGCAGGACGACTATCGAGCAGTTTACAAGATTCAGTACTGAGTTCTGTTATTATTTTGTTTTTTGAGACAGGGTCACACTACTGTAGCCCTGGCTGTCCTGGAAATCACAGAGATCCACCTGCTTCTGCCTCCTGAGTGCTGAGATTAAAAGTGTGCACTACCACACCCACCCCAAATGATGCTTTATGAGAAAGTTTAACATTTTCAAATGAGCTACAATGGTATCATTTGAGGATAATCATATTGGTAATTTTATCACATAGACAAGTCGGAAATTAAGAAAAACATACCTCTCACTGTTCCAATGAATTCCTCCATTCTTCGTAAAAGGTCTGCATCTCTTTCAAAGTCATAAAAGTGGTGCTCCACCCAGTGCCGACACACATTTAACACTCTGTGGCATTAACACAACTGGATTACACGGGATCTCACATTGAATGCACACATGAAACGAGCAACTCTTACCAAGTAAACAATCTACTAAGGCTTGTAATAACGCAGATAAGGTTCTTAGTTAATCCACCTACTTTGCTTCCTTTTGCCTTGGTTGGGAACAGTTCTTAAACATTTCCACTTTGAAACACACAATTGAGATGCTGCCGTTTTTACTGCAGCCACATCTTCACTACTTACCGCAACTGTACAGGCTGAATATATTCCTTTCTAAACCTTTTCAGCTCTGCACTCAGGGGCTGATCTCCATTCTCTATAGCTATGCGATCAGCTTCTGTTGGCTCAGGCTCTGGAATTTCAAATCTAACATGAAACAGGAAAAAAATTAATGAAAAATACTATATCAAATCCAGATTCACAAACTTATTTTACAATCAAGAAAATACTATAAAAAATTAGTACAGATACACACATCAGTGAAAATTCACAAGACTTTTATAATGTAAAAGCTAATTAAAATATTTTAAAAAAGAAACTGATATTGCCAGCAGAGCTAAAGCTAACTAGAAGCAAAACAAAACATACATAAAATCTTAAGCAAATGGGACTAATGTTCATTTTTAGTCTGTAGATTAATCAGTAGCAATAATTTTAAGAGTAATGCTGGAAACTTGATTGCTCTTTTGGCAGACGAGAAACGTTTTCCTTGATAAAAGCATTTGCTCACAGACAAGATTCATTTTATTCAATATGTAATATATTTGAAAATCTGTTTAGAACTTGTGAAGCATTAAAATCTGAATTCTCATTACTTTACAGACATGATTTCATGTAGTTCAGGGTAGCCTTAAACTCGCTAGGTATAGTCAAAGATGACCCTGAACTCCTGATCCTACTGCCTCTGTCTCCCAAATTCTTGAATTATAGGCATATGTCCAGCCTAGAGTCTAAATCATACATATTTACATAGTCCTTTAACTTGATTAATTCAGGCTCGAAATACTGCTTAAATAGAATCAGAGGCCCATGGTTCCATCCCCAGTAGGGCTTAAACCCTGAAAAATTGGAGTTTTAAATAGTGAATCAAGGAAAAAATGAGAAATTTATTTAAACGATCAAAGTTAGCATGTTTTTATAAAGCCAGTAGTTTTATCTTAAAAGTTCACTTACAATTAAGCTTATTGACACATTTATGGGAAACATGTATTTTAATCCTTTCAAAATCAAAGAATTTAAACATTTACATTTGACAGACCTTTCTATTATAAGACTCAGTAGTTCTTGAGGTTTGCAAAAGGATCTGTATGTTGTAAGAAATGTCCGAACAAAATTGGGATCTAAGAAGAAAAAAAAAAAGTATTAGAGTCTCAGATAAACAATGATTAAAACTATTATTTTCAGTTTTCAAAAGAGACCAACAATTTAGTCATTAAAGTTCCCAAATGTTTTACCCATATAGACCACTTTGGACTTTATAATGTATCCCTAGCTTCAGTGCTTCCTAAAGCAATGGCTGTAGAAAAACAAAAACAAAACAAAACAAAAAAACAACTGACTGTAAAATATAATCAAGTGATTTCTTGTCCTGTCTCAAACTTATCACTGGCAAAGGAATGTGCGATGGGAAGAAGCAAGGACAGGAACTTGAACCAGGTTCGTGTTTATCTACCTTGTAGAGGGCAGGAGCAATAACCTGTCCAGTCCCTGCTTTCAGTTTAATTAAGGATGGTGTTTTCTAACTTCCTATAGATGATGTTAAGAGAGTAAAGAACTAGAAACCGAATCTTACAGAGTAGTAGGGTAAGTTAATTAGTGTTAAAATGGTCTCAATTGCCATGGGCCTTATTTGTAACTGCTTAAAAAGTTTCAAACCCCTCTAAAAGCTATTAAAAAGACCACGAGATGGCTCAGCAGGTAAAAGTCCTTTGTCAGACAAGCTTGATGACCTGAGTCCAGGGTCATCACATCCCAAAAGTTGTCCTCTGACACACACACACACACACACACAGCTTGTTTGTGCCACACTCATTAACATGTGTGAACACAGAGATAATAAAAAGTAATTCTAAAAACCTCTTGTTTTTATCTCTTTCTTTCATTTGAAGCAGTTACAACAATGAAGTTCAGTCATAAGAGCAGGAGGCTCTAACCTCTTCTTCAGAGGCCTCTTTGCATGCACATCTCCATGGAATAAATTGGAGACCTATTTAGGCTTGCCTCTCTCAATCTTTCCTTGACCAGGCTAGAACGGGTAGCAGGAATAAGCACAAAAGATGCAGGCCATTGTCTTGTGCATAGAGAAGGGAAAGTCCCTTTCTCAACACTCACTCTCTGGGTATGATGGCATGGACCTTTAATCTCAGGCAGAGGTAGGCAGACCTCTGGGAGTTCGAGGCCAGCCAGAGATACATAGTAAGACAATCTCAAACAACCCACTCACTTCTACAACTCACACCACACATAGTCCCAAATCTTTAAACCTAAGGGAGAACAGTAGTTAACTTGAGTCTTTTGTGGGAAATTCTGATGGTAAATTCACTGACGGCAGCAAATACCTATTCATTATTGATGAAAGTTTTATAAGACTTTTATTAGGACAAGATTTAGTGAAATTAGTGTCTATTTAGAAAATTTTTACTTAAGTTGATTCTAAGAAGCACCCTAAATTTAGCCTTAAAAGATCACACAGCACTAACTTTTTACTTAAAACTCATTCATGGATTTATGACAAGCTAGAATTCTGACCTAATCTGATAGTACACATTATCAAGATAATGATCTGCTATAACTATCAAACAGCCCTGAGTTGGAAATATTTAATATTTTTTTTCAATCTGAAGAAAAATTTATCGGACAAAAGGATATTATTGTGGGAGGTTTTTTGCTATGAGGCAGGACCTAGCTAGACATTCAGGCTGGCCTTGAACTCACAATCTTATTGTTTTAGTCTCCCAAGTGCTGGGATTACAGGCATGTGTGACCACGCCTCTAGCTAAAAAATCTGATTTTATTTAATGTTCCTTCCTTTAGTTTATATCTCCTAAAGCTAGAGTGCATTACTGATAGAAATATTTTAGATACATAAAATCTTTTAATAATCTCCTTCCTGTTGGTATTTTATTTGTTTGTCTTCAGTTACAGAGATCCTCAGTTAAAGACTAATGTCTCATCCAGAAGAAAAGATTTAAAAACAGAAGGCTGTACGAGATTTTAAAACAGAGATATTTATCGGTTCCATCACAATCCTCCCTTCCAAGAACCTTCTTCCTGTTCTGCAAATCTATTTGTAAGGTGAGGCTCCTCCTAATAGCATGTGTTCAGGAAGCAACAGCAGCAGCCACAGTTGGGATGCTCGGCTGTCCCTGTTGGACAGAGCTGTGTATCTAGATGAGGTCTCTGAGCATCTCTGGGCTGTATACCCCATTGAGAGTGTGGACCCACTCACTCCTCCTCAAACACAGGTTTACTTCAGGCTGACGATTTAACATCCACATTCAGAATTATTTTTTTCTCAAATGCCACTCAACATCAGGCTAAAAGCTGTGGGTTTCAGACAGAAGAGAACAAGTGCTAAGTGAATTAAAGAATGTTTTAAGAAAAGCATGGCTATTTTTAAAATTGGGGTCTTCATTATCTTAGGCCAAGTCTATTTTAAAACACTTTGCTTCTCCTTAAGCCATTTCTTTACATCAGTAACTTAAGAGGATGCTGGGAAAGGCAGCTGTGCCTCAGTGCCCAATCAGTCAAATGGGACCACATCAGTCCGAGAGTGTTTTCACCTACATCTACGTCACACAATCTCTGGGAGGCTAGTAGGTCAGGAGAACTACAGAAGAGAGCATGGCTCTGTGATTCTGCTCTGGTACTCCCTTCTCCCAAGACAGTTACTCCCCATATCAAAGGATTCTCATAAGTCTTACCTAGTTGTGAGATCTAAAAATGCAGAATTTATCAATGAATTACAGTGTCACCATAGAAGCTCACACTTAAATCAGAATGCAGTTTGTAGCTGCAGAGCTGGTCGGAGGCACCAGAGTCACTGGAAATGAGCGGTCCACTGAGGAGGCAGCAGCTGTTCTGCCTATGCCACTGTTCAGAGGCTTTTGGTGCTGGCAAGTGAAATAAATAAACACTAAGCAGTAGCCACCGCTGCAGTGTGCTGCTGGCTAAATACTGTGGAATAAATACCTCACAGTAACCACCACTCTAGTGTGGCCTAACGTGACTGAAGTTTAATTTGTTCTTATCTTGGCTGGAAGCTGAAAGCAGCCTTGCCAAAAAGGGAGGGTGGGGTGGAAGAACTAAAATACTTCAAGAAAACTGGCAAAAGCTTAAGTACTTAAAAAAAAAAAAAATAAAGAATTAAAAGCTACCCATATTCCCATGCTGGTTTTAACACACACACACACACACACACACACACACACACACACACACACACACAGAGAGAGAGAGAGAGAGAGAGAGAGAGAGAGAGAGAGAGTTATTTCTAATATAAAGCAATGAAAAGTTTCTAATGAATAACAAACTTATTTTGAGAGGATTTACCTGTATTTTGAAATTATATACGAAAAAGCTATATATGTATATTTCAGAAGCTATTTTCTGTTGTTTTGATTTCTCCATCTCAGTGACTCAAACACATGCTCTGCCACCCCAATCACAGCACTTCACCTTTATGACAATGCAAAGGACTAAATTAATCTGATATAAGAAAAAACCTTCAGTAATAAGGACAAATGATATAACTTTATAAGAAAATAAAGTACCTCCTTCCATTTAACAGGCAATGAAAAAGACTAATACATTGCTGTCTGCTTGTAGCACCGTTATGGACCTATTCATATTCCAAAATGATATTTCAGAAACAGGAGACAAATATAAAAATAAGAAAGTCAGGCAAAGTTTAGCTTTAAGGTACAAGCACAACAAATATTCACAATAAAAAAGTAGCCCAATTTGATATTCCCTTCTGGTGTGCAACAAAAATTACTCCAGAAATGTGTTACTCAGACATAACCCCTACTGTTTTCTAACCCACCAGAGGTAACATTCTTCTTACATTTTTCCTGCCATGTTCATAGCTTCTCTGTTTCTTCCTCTCCATACCTTCTTTATACAAATACCTACTGAGTCTAGTCTCAAGCTCTTGGCATAGGCCACGTTTCTTCAACTATAAGCTATAGTTACTTTGATGTTTTTTGTTTTGTTTTCTGAGATGGGGTCTCATATAGCTCATATTGACCTAGAACTCACTATGTAGCTGAGAATGACTTTGAACATTTAATCCTCCTTCCTCTATCTCCTGAGTGCTATAGGCAGAGATGACAGGCATGTGTCAACACCAGTTTATGAGTTGTATGCTAGAGATTGAATCCAGAGCTTCATGCATGCTAGGCAAGCATTCAACTGAGCTGCATTCCCAGACCGTGGTTACTATTTTTTGCTGGCATTCTAGCTGACCCCACCCATGGATAATTCTTTGTTATTTGGTGTACATTTTTCAAAATCCTCTGAACTATATCTACAGTATATCTAGTGTTCAGAATATAGCACATTAGATTTTAGGTCATCAGTTCTTCTTCTGTCTGTAACACTTGACATTTAATATGGCAAGGTCATAAGACTTATGAAATATTTATTACATTACAAATCTATTTATGAAGAACACCCTTCCCCCATCCACCATAGTGGAACACTGTTAATCAGGATGTCTGCTCATGTGATAATACTCCCTTTTAATACAGCCATTTAAAACCTCAAGAAACAATAAGCTCCTCAGCAAGAACTTATAAACAATCACTTTTGAATTCCTTAAAAAAAGGAAACAGACGCTATGCTGACGCACAAACACTTAAAAAAATCACCGTTTAAAAATAGAAGAGCACTGCCCTATAGATCAAAAATTGTTCAGAGACTTTAAAGTTAGACGCCTAAACTGAACTTATGCAAGATACAGACTCAAATCTAATGTAGAGTTTTGAATATTTATGAGTACAAAGATAGCAGTAAATACATCAAAGAAAAAGATCTTAAGTTTTCTCAATTTCGTCTTCAACAAAAGAAGTTTACCACAGAAAGGAAAGAGTGTTGTAGATTATCATTATCCTTCCCTCGATGCCATCCCGTTTTCTATCATACACACCTACTGACAGACCGCCACCACCATCTTCCTACCAGTGTTGCTCTATCTCAGAATTGGCTGCATTTCATTTCCTACAGCAGCTCTGTGAAATGAACTTCCTGCTCCCCTTTCCCTGTGACACTGCTTTGTGATTGCTTACTCTAGGGTAAGGAAACCGTTTCTCTGTGTTGTTGCCAAATTTAAAATAATCCACCCAACTGAGTAGTTTTCCTTCTAGAATTCAGGATGAATTCCCTAATATCTGATATGTCCAAAAACACTGGGAATGAAAGACAAGCTATAAATTAGACTCCACCTCAGATTGTCATAATTCATGTATGTTACGCATATTTTAACTCACCTAGATATAAATGTATTTTTCCAGAAAGCTTTCTGTTTACAGAATGAGATATTCTGACAGCCCAATGACTGGGCTTTGTCAGGAAAAAAAAATACAGGGGGCAAACACCTGTACCCCCAGCATTCGGGGCTGATGAACTTAGTGCCAGCCTGGCTACCTGGCCTCCATCAATAAATCAGAAAAGTCAATAAAATGATGGAGCTAAGGGTATAGGCCAGTGATGGAATAGTTTTCATGCCCAGAAATAAGCAGCAGGATCTAACTGCATGCAAATCTACATATAACAATTCTCAGAACTTATTACCTATTTCAATAAAAAACAAAAACTATATCTCTTCATAATATAACCACCTGTATTTGCCTCAAATGAATAACTATTGTAGTTAAAACCCCATTTTTTTCTATTATTAATCATGTATAACTTTTAAAGTGTTATCATACTAAAATAACTTTTTAAAACTTAGTTTGAAACTATCAGTGGGGACATGAACATATATTCTCCTGAATAAAGCAATTAATTTCTAGGTTTCATCCTGTAATTAACCGATAGGATTTCTAGCAAATTAAACAACCCTTAGAGGACTTGGACTTTTGTTTATAAACTGAGGGTGTGTACAGTTCCTGGCACTACAGGCGTGTAGCCCTTGTATGGAATATTGTTGTAACATTTGAGAAATCAAGTTAGCTGAAGTTAAACCAGAGTTAAACATATGCAAGCCAGCTTTCTCTTCTGTTTTTCAGTATGTCTGAGCAACTTAAAATAATCTAGACGATGTCTAAGTGCTGTTACATCATTAGTTGAATTCCATCATGTAGTATATAGAGTGCCTTTCACTATATAATAAAAAAGTGAGTTATTAATTTTAGCTTTTGTTTCAGTGTAAGCTACAACTTGTCCTTCATGTTTTAAACAAAAACACCTAATAACAAACTAACCAAATCAAAAGTTCTTTTTTTTTCATTTGGGGAGACTGAATAAAAGGAAAAAACAGACTACTGTTTCTATCAAGAAAAATGATAACTATATCTGCTGTCATTGTAGAGAAGACAAGTGATAACTTCATCTGTTGTCACTGCAGGAGAACGTTTTATACATTGAGCTGGAGAAGACCTTACAATACTGCTTTATGTCTTAAACAATTCCATGAATGTCTACCAAAAGCACATTCTATACTGCCAGTAATAAGTTAATAATGGACTCTACAGAGTAGTTGGTCTATTAAAAAATTCTATACTGCAAGTAAAGACTTCAGTACATAGACATCAAAGAATGACTAGTAAACTAATAACACTAGTTTCATGTACTTCAATCTCAGAACTCATCAAGGTTGCTGGTAGGTTCCAGCTATGCCTGTCACATATTATGAGATAAAACATTCAATGAAATTTCAAAACAGGACAAACAATGTCAAAAAAAACTTAGTTATAACATACTTTTTTAATACTGGAAGGCTTTAAAATTTTTTTAACTTTAAAAGTAAAACAAACTAGAGATAACTCAGAGGTTAAGAGCACTAGTCTGTTCTTCCAGAGGACCTGGGTTTGATTCCTAACTAAGTCCTATCTACAGCTCCAGTCCCAGGGAATCTGACAGTTTCTGGACTCCACCAGCACTGCACTCACATGGTACACGCACAGATGCATAAAGATTTAAAACTTAAAAAAAAAAAGAGTAAAATAATCTCATCAGGGAAAATTTCAGTAAATTTAACTTCATCAAAATTGTATAATGCTAGAAATTTAAGTGTTATATTAGAAAAGAACATAGAAAATATTACTTTATACAAAAGCTATAAGTTGACAGCAGTCATTAGATGTATGTGAAAATATCATGACAAAAACAGACTTTAGCAGCATTGTACACATAAAGAATGAAGGCTGCTGGACACAAAACCTGTTAGCTTACTGGCATACGCTTGAAAGTACACTCATTCATAAAAAAATAAGACTTGCCAAAAAAAGTATTTGGTTATAGCTTAGAACTGCTAATCATGAATTAATTCTGTTAAATAAATCCTCTATGTACAGACATGTTGTAAAAACAGATTGTAGATTTCAGAATACAGAAACAAGTAGCAACTGACTTTTGATAGAAAAAAAAAAAAAGAACACTTGGCTCTACTGAGTCTCCAGTGATCATCACTGACTATGCTGTTAGGAAAATAAACTGTCTTTAATATTCAGAGGGAAGATACGAGAGATTATTTACTCTACATAGTCTAAGAATGCCATTCAATACAAACAATTTTTTTCTCTTGTGATTTATATGGTTTTTGCTTTGTCCTTTTCTTAGAAAACAAACAAGCAAACACTATTAAGGATAAAATGAGCAGCTTTTAGATTCACAGGATTTAAAAACAAAGACAATATTTTAAATCCACAAATTTTGAGTGAACAAAGTATTTTTATAATTTTATAATTTTCTCCCTCCCCCCCCTCCTTTTTTTTAGAGATAAGGTTCTCTGTGTATCTCTGAGACCAGGCTGGCCTTGAACTCAGAGAGATCTGCCTGCCTCTGCCTCCCAATTGCTAGGGATCAAAGGTGTGCACCACCACTGCCTGGCTGGAATGTTAAACAGTATATAGCAGGTTGATGAAGATCAAGTGAATAGACAGATCATAATAATTACAGAAAACTGTAACTCTTAAAAACAGCTTTCTATGTAAAAAGAAAGGTAACCTATTTTTATATAAGTACAGAATAGCTTAAATTTTTTAATATATACTTTTTTATTTTTGAGTAATAAACACAATGCATGTATAAGTTTCTAGGTGACAACTTACAGTAAAACTGGAACCCAGATGAGTCTTCTCTTATTATTCAACAAGTCTCAGACACTGTGCACTACCACTTAATAATTCGTGTTCAGAGAAGCCACGTCACTTTACTGTGTGACTAAAAGGTGAGGAAAACTCACCATGGGAAATGCTATCTATTTACTATGGAAAAGGCTCTCAAAGATCTACCTGTTAGGAGTCCAAAAAACAGACAGCAAAACTAAACTCTAACTTATATATCCCAGAGATATGTGGATAATGGCATGTTTGTATTATAAAGTAGCTTGAGAACACTAATATAAAATAGTACTCAAATTTAACTTCTCTCCCTTTGGTAGTTCCCAGCCATATAAAGCTCTGCTTGTATATTGAGTAAACTGAACAGAAAAAGCCTTGTTAAGTGCTATTCTATTCAGTTTTACTTAAGTGGATAAACAAATGGCTATTTTAAATCTCATTAGCACCAAAATAACTTCCAAAGGAAACAGGGAATCCACTTATAGGATTTGTTAAAAAAAAAAAATGGGAAAATATTTTTTCCTCCAGAAACATGGATTACCTAAAAATAGGAATATATTTAACGGGACATATGGGGAAAGAGGTTACTTTCCACATTCAGGTACCTAAGAATATTGTATTATGAGTTATACTGACTTTAAATCACACACGTCTTTTAAAGAAAAAACATTCTTTAAAAATTTGCACTTAAAATTAAATAGCTTTCACATTCGGTATTTCATTTATGCTTTTCAGCAAAACACTAAGGTAGCTATTTTGATGTTAATTTTTGAGATGAAAAACTATGGTTCTGAGACATGAAGGGACACTGTATGAGTTCAGTGCTGTCTACACCACCTCGGTGCTAAGATGTGTCAATGATCAGACGTCCCACTGTGTTGGAGCATATGAAATGACTGACTTGCGTATGCCCATACCTCTTTACCACAGCATTTAACCCTGCCTAGCATCTTTCTAGGTTGTTCAGATTGGTCTGTCATTAAAACCTGCGAAGATAAAACTGTTTGCATAGATAACACTAAGAACAGAATACTGAAAATGGTTTCCAGATTTCCTGAATAGACACAGAATGGAGACTAAGAAAAGGCAATACTGTATTTATTTTTATATTTAGAAAAGGCAATACTGTACATATTTTATATTTAGAAAAGGCAATACAATATATATTTTATATTTAGAAAAGGCAATGCCATATATATTTTTATATTTTGAAAAGGCAATACTATATATTTTTATATTTAGAAAAGGCAATACTGTACATACTTTTGCCATCAGCACAATTTTGATAATAAGTGAATACACTCATATTGATGCTAACTTTAGACAAATGACCCTTTCTCTTTGTAACTATGACTCTAGGTTTAAAATAATGGTTGGAAATCTGGTAGAAGAAGTAAAGACTTCAAAGAAATAGAGTGATGGTTTTAGTCAAAGCTTCTCTATTAGAAGTCTTTGCAGCTAGGCAGTGGTGGCATACGCCTTTAATCCCAGCACTCAGGGAGGCAGAGGTAGGTGGATCCCTGTAAGTTTAAGTCCAGTCTGGTCTACAGAGTGAATTCCAGGACAGCCAGGGCTACACAGAGAAACCCTGTCTTAAAAAAAAAAAAAACAGCACTCGGGAGGCAGAGGCAGGCGGATCTCTGTGAGTTCGAGACCAGCCTGGTCTACAAGAGCTAGTTCCAGGACAGGCTCCAAAACCACAGAGAAACCCTGTCTTGAAAAACCAAAAAAAAAAAAAAAAAAAAAAAAAAAAAAAAGAAAAAGAAAAAAAAAACAAAAACAAAAAACAAAACAAAATAAAAAAAAAGTCTTTGCTTGTTGTTAGTTATCTATTTCAGGCATAATAACCCACCCATCAAAACAATCACTTTGAACAAAGAAAGACAGCCGCTTCGTGTTTCTTACCTGCATACATGTGGTATGTAAGCCTCTCGATCAGCTTAATCACTGTCCCTGCTTTAATAATCGGAATCCCAGCCTTGGGCTGCACGTTCTCTTCGAATAGAATATTCTCCTCAGAGTCTGGTTCTGCAAATCTGTACACATCCGCACTAGGCAGCCTCATCTGCTCCTCCTTCTCTTCCTGCAGCATTGTCACATCAAGCATTCGCTCCAGGGTACTTCGGTACTGCAAAGATATCAGTGCTGCCATCCAGTTGTTTTTCTCTTCGGCTGACTTGGCAGAAAATATAACACTATTTCCATCTTTCAGAATTATCTCAAAAGCATGCTTGTATTCACTGGTGTCATCTTTATCATTAATTTGTACCTTTCGCATAAAGAACTTTTCTTTAAGACGATATTCTGCATTGCTAGCACCAGGAAGTCTTGGCTGCCCGTGATTTGATTTACAGCAAATCATTAAGCCATCGAAGAGAAATATGTGTCTCTCGTGTTTGGCTCCTACACGTGTAAGAGTTCCTTCCATTATGAACTCATTGCAACACTGTCCAATGTCTTTCCCCTCCCAGCCATCAATATTCTTCTGAATCTCGTTCATTTTCTTGATTGCTAGTTGTTTCCCCTTCATTTGCTGGCTATAAAATCGACACGCAGACTCACTGGGTAAAGGAAGAGACACTATTAGTACACAGAGACAGAATGTAGAGTTCATGCAGATAAGGAGACAGGGCAAAATATAACTTAAACCATCTCTGATATGGTGCTTACTAATTCCCTAAATAGATGTAATAATACAGCTCTAGAAATTAAAACAACACAGAAATTTTTTCAGAGGTATAAAAATAACAGTGATAGTCAACTATATAAATTCAGGTACAAAAGATTATTTCTTCCTGAGTACTAAATATTTAGAAAGATAGATATCAAAAATAGCCCAATATAGTAAAAAAAAAAAAATAAGAGATGAAAGAAAATTGTTAAGTATTTTTAAAGGAACAAGACCCAAAGATGAAAGCACACAGCACGTTCTAATTAGGAAAGTGGGAGAGCTGCTATCTGAAATAATGTCTCGAGTTATAGTCCCTGAACTAAACAACACTTTTAATTGGACTTCGGCATAGCGATGCCTGTGGCTAAATCTACCCGGCACACTTTGCTCCGTCTCCTTCAGCTCACCAGCTGCTCCTCAGGAGGTCTTGTCTGGGAGTATGCAGGGAAAACGCACAAATATGAAAGGTTTTTCAAACAATACAAATTCTCCTGGCTTTGATGTCACTTCCTCTGAAAGACCAAGCGTGTCACTGACATCGTTCTCTTCATTGTTTACTTGAGGAGGGAGCTGAGGCCCCTGAATTTATACCACAGCTTCAGGATAGAAAGGAAGAGAGTTTACAGAGAATATTCATTCACCTTAATCTTCGTTTCGCAAGACTTTTGGAACATATTTTTTCCATGCCGCTCTGGACATTAAGCAGGGCTGTTATAGCTTGTTTCACACATTCCTTGTCTTCTTGATCTTCACTCTTTTCTTCTAACTGCTGTGAAGTCAAAGGGACAAAACAATAACCTCACTTTATTTAAGGATAAAATTAACATTCATTCAACTTTGTCTACTTCAATAATTTTAAATGTTCTATAAGTGCATCTGTTTAGATTTTATGTGTATGGGTGTTTGCCTGTATATATGAACATGTACTACATGTGTGCTTTATGCTCACAAAAATGAGAAGAAAAATGTCCAATCCCCTACTACTGGAGCTGCAGGTGGGTGCTGGGAGCTGAATCTGCATCCTCTTCAAGAGCAACAAGTGTTCCTAACAACTGAGCCATCTCCCCAGCCTCCGCTTTATTTTTGAAGTGTTTTTCTGGGCAGAGGATATAACTGGTACTGTGTTTACCTAGCACACATAAAGCCCTGAGTTCTATTCTCTGATCCATATAAAGCAGACATGTTGGCAGATGTCTGTAATCCCAGTACTCAGCAGCAGAGGCAGCCTCAGATACCTGAGAAGCTGTCTCTGAAGAAAAAAGCAGTTCTTACTGTTTTGTTTGGTAGCACATACATGTAATTCTAGCACTTGGGCATCTGAGGTCAGCCTGAGCAACAGCCCCAGAATATATCTTGTTACTATCTGTACTCACTCAGTATTCATTGTCCTGAAAAGAAACACCACAGAAGTGCTTCTGACTCCCATAGGATTTATTTAGCATGGCACCAGACACAGAGATACCGCACCCCTCACACACTCTGTGTAGCTCTGGAACTCACTCTATAGACCAGCTGGGCTGTAACTCACAGAGATCCTGCCTCTGCCTCTGGAGTGCTGGGATTAAAGGTGTGTACCACCACTGCCTGGTACACAGAGATATTCTTTAAATGTAGAGTAAAAAAATAAAGTTCAGGGCTGACAAGATCACTTAGCAAGTCAATCTGTTGCCAAGGCTAATAACCTCAGTTCAATCCTAAGGACCCACATGTAGGAGGAAAAAACTGACTCCTCTAGATGTTTCTCTGACCTCCAACAACACGTTCCCCCATCCCTCTGCTCATACCCTCTATGTGAATAAATGAATATGTGTTTTTAAAAGTCTTTAAAAATGTAAAGTCTAAAGACATTCAAGTCAGTAGCATACAGAGCAAGATTTGACAATTAGATAGAATATTGATCCCTCTGTATTTTGTTCTGATTATAGATATATTTTTAAATTATGTGCCTGTGGGGGGTGGATGGGCAGGTGTAGGATTTAGGCATGTGAGTACAGTGCCCTCAGAGGTCAGAGGAGGGTTTTGGAGTTATAGGTGTTTCTGAACCACCCTACTTGGATGTTGGGAACTCAACTCTTCTGGAAGAGCAGCAAGTGAGCCTACTGAGCCATCTCTCCAGCTCCTGTACTTGGTATTTTATATTACCAATTCAGCAAATATGCCTAATGCACAAAATTCTAATATAAAGCAGATACAAGAAAAACCTGTCCAGAGATCATTTGATTTTCTATTCAAAAATGTTCCAGAGTCTTTAATGTACCTTTTAGCTTGTATTTTGCACGTGGAATATATTGGCATGTAAAAAGTACTGCTTGTGTTTTTATTTTATGTATATGTGTGTTTTGCCTGTGTGTTTGTCTTTGCACCATGTGCCTTGGAGACCAGAAAAGGATGTCATACATCCTGGAACTGGAATTACAGACAGTTATCCCCTGGTATATGGGTACCGAGAATGAAATCTGTGTCCTCTAGAAGAGCAATGGCTCTTAACCACTGAGTCATCTCTCCACGATTAGTATTTTTTAAAACCACAAACCAACATATTTTTCCCCCTTTTTCTTCCTTTCCTTTTCTGAGACAGGGTCTAGTGTGCCTTCAGCTGCCCTTGAACTCTCAATTCTCCTGTCTCCCTTTTCTGAGTGCTGGGATTAGAAGTCTGTGACACTATGTCAGGTTTGTACAGTGCTGGGGATAGGGTCCAGCGCTAGAAAAGCACTCTATCAACCTAGCTACACCCCAACCCCAAAGTGGTTTTGAATCCATGAAGTTTTCAGATGAAATACTTTTAAATGTTATTTTTAACTTCATAGTTAACAGGCAAGCATCCAACATTTTGGTATAATAAAGACTTTTTTTTTGAGAAGTCTCACTGTATGTCGATTAGGGTGGCCTCAACTCAAAAAGAATCTACTTGCCTGTCTCCCAAATGCTGGGATTAAAGGTATATGGTTATCACACCCAACTAATAAAGCCTTTTCTGTATGTGCATTCTTTTCTTTTTATTTAAGTTGATTTAAACTGGGAAATGATGCAAAATAATTGAAGCTAATTATCCTTAAAGAGGTGGCTTATTGTTGCCACAGGAAAAAAGCAGTAGATTCATATACAAATGACAACAAAGAAGCGTTCTCTTGTTACTATCCATGGTGTGACTAACACTCAAACTTCCTACCCAGTGCTGTCTCTAAGATTATATTGCATACGCACTGAGTGTCATCTAAGGAATCATATTGTAAAGCATAATGAAAATGTGTAGGTCCTCTACAGATGATAAAATTTATCCTTTCACAGGAAAGGAGCCACTCACACCCTTGCTTCCTTTTTGGTTCCTTAGAAAGAAGCAGTGGGGAAGCCAGGTGTGGTGGCTCATAACTAATCTAACACTCGGGAATCTGAGACAGAAGGATCACCCAACTTTAAGGTTAGCTGAGCTACAGAGTGAGCTTTATGCCAGCCTGGGCTGAAGAGTAAGGCTTGTTCACATCCACTCCTGGCTCCCTGACAAACAGAGAGAAGCAATGGCAAAGCAGTTATTGTAGTATAATGCACGTATAATGGAGCTCCCAGGGTAGTGTAAAAGAGCTGCCAATGGAAAATGATAGGCTGGGTGGTGGCGGTGCATGTCCTTAATCCCAGCACTCGGGATGCAGAGGCAGGTGGATCTCTGTGAGTTCAAGGCTAACCTGGTCTACAGAGTAAGTTCCAAGATAGCCACAGCTGCAAAGAGAAACCCCGTCTCAAAAAACCAAAAACGAAAATGATATTCACAGAAATATTCTGAAGGATAAAACTTGATCATTTTAACACAAAATAGACTGAACATGGTATCTAATTTGGAGGGTCTGGGTTTTTACAGTGCTGGGGATGGAACCCAGGACCTCATGTATAGTAGGTAGGCATTCTGCTACTGAGTTACATTCCTTCCCCACCTCCATGGTGTTTATCTTTATGAGTTCAGTTTATCAGTAAACACAGAATATCTAGGAACATATGAATTAATGATTTTATTTCTAGAAACTACTTTGCTCCACCATAATATAAAATGAATACCATTTACTTAGATGAATAAGCAGGCTCATGACTGTTCATGACTGTCAGTCCAAAGACCTTCTCACTAATGTACTTGATTAACTGAAATGACATAAAATCCTATTTAGAACTCACGTCTTTGCAGGTTTAATCAAATGAGGCCATGCTAGATTATGACTGAACCCTAAATCCACACACCTGGAGACTTTGTGTTAAGGAAAGGGAGGTCTGGATGCTGACACAAAGAACGGGAAGTGGTGAACCTGAGGCAGGTAGAGGCAAAGCCTGTAGTGAGGCTACCTGTGAAGCAAGGAGAACCCTGGATGGCTGCCTCCTCAAGCCAAGTGAGGACTCTTCCCTAGACCCTTCCAAGATGCAGACCTTGTCAACTCCTGGTTTCAGCCTCCAGAGCAAAAAGGATAACTCCTGTTGCTTTTCAGTCACTAAGGTTATATTATGCTATGGCAGCCTTAGAAAATATTAATTCTATATAATGCATATATAACAGACTTTAACCTGACTTTTACAATGAAAGAAACTTACTTTCCCTTAAGTTACATGGACCCAGTATATTGCAAAGAGAATGGAGTAATTCTCCAGGATATTACTTAAACTTGTTTAATTATTTTGTTGAATCAATTTGTTAATATTCATAATCTTGGTCATTATATTTAATCATAACAATCCAGTCTAACTTTGTTTAATAAAGCAAACAAAACTTGTTAGAAGAATCATGTTGTGGGAGTGGATAGTTTTACAAGTGCAGAAGGAAGTCTTCACTTCATAAAACATTAACTTTAATGTCTCTAACTCGTCTACAGGTCTAAGGACTGTCTAGTTTGGTGGAAATAATGTTTTGAATTGGAGTAGTATTAAAATTAATAAAATCTGATTAAAAAGACATACTGTTCTTCCAGAGGACTCAAGTTTGATTCCTACCCAGGAGGCTCACAATTGCCCGTGATTCCAGATCCAGGGGGTTTAAAACTCTAGCCTCTGAAGGCATCTGCACTCACAGCACACGCACAAACACACTCACATATACTCACAGGCACATACACATGATCAAAAATAAAAGCATAATAAAAAAAGTTAATTGAAAAAAACTTACTAGCCGGGCGGTGGTGGCGCACGCCTTTAATCCCAGCACTCGGGAGGCAGAGGCAGGCGGATCTCTGTGAGTTCAAGACCAGCCTGGTCTACAAGAGCTAGTTCCAGGACAGGCTCCAAAACCACAGAGAAACCCTGTCTCGAAAAACCACAAAAAAAAAAAAAAGAAAAAGAAAAAAAATTTACTTTTTTTAATTGACCAGTAAAATTATATGTATGTATGTGTATGTATATCTGTGTGTAATATATAATTACACACATACATATACATACATACTGGTTTTAGAGACAGAGTTTCCCTGTAGCTTTGAAGCCTGTCCTAGAACTAACTAGCTCTTGTAGACCAGGCTGGTCTTGAACTCACAGAGATTCGCCTGCCTCTGCCTCTCAAGTGCTGGGATTAAAGGTGTGTGCCACCACTGGCCGGCAAAAATTGTATATATTTATGGTATACAACATGGTGCTTGATAAAATAAGATGTTTAACAATATGTACTCCCAAATATAATTTTTCTCAGATGTAAATTTTTATTTATTTATTTATTTTTTCAAGACAGGGTTTCTTGGTAGCTTTGGAGCCTGTCCTGGCTCAAGCTCAGTAGACCAGGCTGGTCTTGAACTCACAGAGATTCCCCCCTAAGTGCTGGGATTAAGGGTGTGAGCCACCACTGCCCGGCTCAGGTGTAAATTCTTAAAATCTACTCTCAGCCATTTTTGAAACCATACAATATTATTAATTGCTGTACTCACCATAGTACACACTCTCATATATATGTATGTATGTTTGTGTATATGTGTACATACGTATGTATGTATGTGTGTGTGTATGTATGTATGTAATTTTCCGAGGTTAGCCTCACATCTCTGTTTAGGATAGATCTTTTGAATTTATTCCTCCTGTCATGAGAAAAAGACTGAATCCAGTGAGGAATTCACCCAAGTCCTCAGAGAGACAGGAGGACTGTTGGTGTGCAACGGCCCTAGCTAATCTGAAGGGGAATGGTCCCATACATTTCCCCTCAGCTTAGGGTGGGCTGTAATGCTGTAATCGTACTATGACTCATCTAGAGGTGATCTTTAGCTTCCCAACCCCAACCACACTTTCTGAGTTCATAGAAGAATTGCAGTCAAGCAGCTGGCAGCCATGGTCATTTTATTCAAGGAATGTGATAATCCTTCTTTTGATAAAAGAAGGGCTTTAAAGAGCAAATTACACAAAGCAAAGCTTCAGCAAACTTAAATTCTAATGAGGTCAGACATCTGTTTCCTTTATCTTCCTCCATTATCTAGGTAATACGTGTTAATAAGCTAACTAGAAGTTAGGCAGAGCCCCTTAACTTAATCTCACTTCTGTGTGATTTAATATTTCCAGAATAAGCTCATTAAATTAATTTTAATCATATTTTGATTAACCCTAATTCTTTCCTCACTCCTAACTGAAATTTTATATCCATTGACAAATATCGTCCTTATACCCCCAACCTCTAGGAACTAACATATTACTGAATCTGACAGTATTATGCTAATACCTGCAAAATATTACCCTATGAATCTGTAAAGTTTAAGGCATTCTATGTTCCCAAATAATCATGTATATATGAAATTTACAATTCAAGTTCTTTTAAAATACAACACAACGTTGACAGGAATTCTAAGAAAAATATGTATTTTTGCTACTCATTATTTAACAAGCATTTAATAAAAGATTTAAATGTCAGGTACCATGCTAGGACACAGGGAAGTTAGAGAAGGAGGAATTCCACCAGGCCAATGGGAGAAACAGGGAAACAAATGCCGCCCTACACTGAACTGGCATATCCAGGGCTGCTGAAGCTCACGGGCAAGACTAAAGAGCTAGCAAGCGGTGAAGCTCAGGAATTCAGACTTTCTGTTGCAGGTGCCAGGAAACCAATTGTACCTTTCAATTTGAGAGTTTAAGGAAGTACAAAGACCATATAAAGAAGGTGCTGTTTTATCTATTCAAGAGATATGAAGATGATGTCATTACAAATGGACACTTGTTGCTGAACACAGATTCAATTCTGATATTAAATTGTGAGGCGCTGCCAGTAAGGGAGAGAAAAGAATCAAAGTTGGTGTGATGGATGGGACCCAAGCTGCCCAATAAAGACGGCTAATGCCGAAAACATCAGAGATTTGGACAGGCAAGACGACAGTGGGAGATGTGGTGAGGGAAAGTGTCACGGACAAGAAGAAACATCTCTAGTGATGAAAACACCCAAGTGTCTACATGAAATAACCTTTGCAATGTTTTAAGTTGATGGTGCTACCTAGTGAAATAAGCACTCTATAAAAAGGAAACCAGGGCTCAAAAAAGTCAAGTGATTTTTCTCTAGCCACACAGTTTGCGGGCAGAAAGACTTCAACAACTACAAAATCCCAAAACGCACTCAGCATACAAATACATTATGGCTAGATTCCAACTACCCCTCAAATCTTAGCATTTGGTGCCTCCATCTGCCCTGATCTCATGCAGTCAGTTCTTTACCAAGTATAGATGGACAGTTCAGAGTAACAACAATTCCCCAAAGAGAAAAAATTAGAATACTAAGTTATCCTCTGGCCTCATAGACAGTGTGTGCACACAAGTGCATTTACTTATGTATACACATGCAAAATAAATAAGAATACAAGCAGTACATCAGTGCTGAAAAGAATCCAGAGTGGAACAAATGACCAGCCTGTCGGTCAGTTTTCTTTCCTTGCACTACCCATATACTGTTTACTTTGCAAAGTAATATGATTTAGGGATATACATTCTCAAATGAGTAGAAAAATATTAAATCCTAAAAAGGGTTCTTAAAATGTGATTACCATTGCTATAATTTTTGGAAATCTTAATTAGAGGTATAATGAAAATCATCCCCCCACTTCTCAAGACTGGGGTTCATACTGGCCTAGACTGGCCTAGATTCGCTATGTAGCCTTGCCTGGCCTCAAATTCATAGTAACCCACTTGCCTTAGTCTCTCAAATGCTCATACTGTAGGTTTGATCCACTATACATATAAATTTAAATAGCATTCTTATTTAAAAATAAATTATTTCTTTAGAGTGTGTGTGTGCACTGTGTGCAGGTATGGAGGTAGGTAAGAGGGCACTTGCAGAAGTCAGTTCTCTCCTTCCACCATGTGGGTCCCAGGAGTCAAACTCAAGTAATTAGGCTTGGTGGCAAGCACAATCTCACTGGCCTTTATGATTTTTTTGAGATAAAGTTGAACTCTGTTGCCCACAGTGGCTCACAACAGCTTAAAGTGCTGGGTTTACAGGTAAGAACAACTATACCCAACAACCTCTTTTCTTTAAAAGCTATTTTGAATTCTGTGTATGTTTGTGTGCCTGTGAGTATATGCTATGTGTGTGCGTGTACCCACAGAGGCTGGAAGAAGGCACTGGACCTCCCTGAAGCTGTAGCCATAGGTGGTTTGTTAGCTGTCCAGCATGGGCGCTAGAAACTACACCCAGGACCTCTAGAAGAGTGTCACGTGCTAAGCCACTTTCTACCCTTTAAGTTTCCATGTGAGTGCGCATGTGTGCGTGTACATGTATGGTATCCGTGTACATGGAGGTCAGGGACAACGTTGTGTGCGTGTACATGTATGGTATCCGTGTACATGGAGGTCAGGGACAACTTTGTGGCACTGTTCTCTTTCCTCCTTTCTGTGAGCTCTGGGATTGAACTCTACTTGCCAGGCCATGTGACAAGTGTCAGCCAGTTTCATCTTGCTAGCCCTTAATTTTTCTTATCAAGCTGCTCAATTTTATAACCTTTCAAATCCTCATCAAAGCTTCTTACTTCTATTTATAAATTAATAAACTTTAAAGTTTTATGTGGCTACTCAATCCTTTAGAATTTCATTTCTTCTTAATATTTTAATTATGATCAATTGGAGAATTTTTACTAGTATACAAATTCACTGTTTCTAAAATAGTAACAATAGTGAGTTTAACAGATATAACTGCAAAGCTGAGCTATGAAAATCTATTGAACTAAGTATTATTTTCGTCTTATTTTCATATTGGGTCCCTGATGAAGAGTCCCTGCAACTACTGAGGTCCTCAAACGGAGTCTTGGATGCATACACAGCTGTTTTCAAAGAATCTTATCCATTTAAGCAAAAAGGCCACATGATTAAAGATAAAGTTGCTTTACAGTTCAGTAGTAAAGTCAGAAAAAACATGTTGTTTACTTACTTCTGCAGATTTGCTTAAAACTGCTTCTCAGCTGGACAAAGAAAATGAATATACACTAATGGATATGGACACTCAGATAATAATTTTCTAATAAAGTGGCAAAAAATGACAGCAGACTGCTTTGTAAATACCAGTGAAAGCTTCCTTACCTTCAGAAGCTCAAAGTAATGCAGACAGTGGTACACGGGAGCGAGCAGCAGCCGGGGCAGGACATACTGGACAGCTTCTTTGAAGCCCTCGCCTATTGACTAAAAAAGGAAGAAAGTTAACTTTTTTTAAGAGCTTAATTTTCTGACATTGTGAAATTTGATTTAATAGTCACTCTACCTGCAAATAAAGTGCTGCCCCAGGCTTTGATAACTGACTAAGGAAACGGTCATGGAATCCAGGTCGTAAAATATCCCGAGCATATGATTCATATGGGTCAAATGCTAGTTCCTTAAAAATAAAGACAATAAAATAAGTGTAAAAAATCTATCTCCAAGGTAAAATATAAATGACCCACCACCCAAAATATAAAAAATTAAATTATGAACCAATCTACACAAACATAATATTTCTTTTAAAGATTCCAAATGAAAATTGAGTGGTTATTATAATTTAACAGAATAAATCTAATATTCTTAAGTAAAATAACACATACTTTTTTTCTTCTAAGTAATAGGATCAATGTACACTAAGATACTTCTCTGTCCTAAGAGTGGGCAGACTTGGTTCTAGAAAACAGCACAGCTTAACAGATGGGTATGACTAAGTAAGACATGAGCATTTAAGACCCTGATGTTAGATATTTATTTTCTCAGATTTAAAGGTGTTGGCCTAGAGAAATGGCTTAGCAGTTAAGAACACTTGTTGCTCTTGCGGAGGACTCAGGCACCCTCACAGTGGCTTACAATGACCCATAATTCTAGTTTCAGGATATCTCATGCCTTCTTCTGGATTCTGGGGGCACCAGGAACATATGTGGCACAAAATCATACATGCAGGCAAAATACATAAAATAAATAAATATAAAAAAAATTTTTTTTTGGTATTGGATTTTACTTTCCTACTTTGTAAATCAGAAGCTTCTGTCATCTAAAAGTCTATTGTAGTTTTCACAAAACTAACAATTCAAACTGTAAAATCAAAACATCATTATTAATATTACCAGTCATCAATAAGCAAGTCTCGTAGCTAGGTCTATAAAAGTACTGATGAACCCTGAGGAAATATAGAGTAGGTTTATTGATTTTAGCAAGAGAAATAGGACCTTTCCCATCTCAATCCAGTGCCCTATTCCACTTAATGTAAAGTTAGGAGTGACAGAGATAGCTCAGTGAGTAAAGATGCCTATCGACAAGCCTGATGACTTTAGTTCAATCCCTGGGACCCACAAAATGGAAGGATACAACTGACTCACACAGTGTCCTCTAACCTCTGATACATGTGAATGAATTCCAGATTCTGACAAGTGTTCCTTTCTATAAAAGCTAATTCTAAAAGAGACAAGAGGAAGGATGTAGTAGCAGTAAAGAATAAGACAAATGACTAAAAGGTATGAATTACCTTTAGTGTTGGTTTTTAAACTACTTCTTCAGATTCAGTAGAACACCGGGTCTGAAACCCCTTCCAGCTGGAGCTCTGGTCACTCTGAGGTGACGTGACAGGGAATGCTCCTGGCTATCCTGCTTCCTTACATCTTCGTTCAACTCCTAATTTTTCTCTCTCTACTGATTAATGCTATCCGTGTCACATGCCAAGACTCTGTAATTCCATCCTGTTCCACTGTCTGTCTATATTGGTAGCAACACTCTACTCTGATACTACTATTCAATAAATCTACATATGTGATAGAGGGTTTCCTCGGTCTGCTGTTCCTCTAAATTAATTTTCTTTTTTTTTTTCTGACATGGGCGTGGGTGGCAAGTGGTGGGTAAGAAATTCAAAACAGGATTCTCATTGTGTAGCTAGCACAAACTACCCTAGAACTTGCAACATAACCCAGACTTCACACTCATTCTTAGACACTAAAGACAACTTGCTGTACACTGACTGTTAACTTTAATGAACTACTGAGTTTCTCCATCCATTAAAATAGCATAGTATATTCCCATTTACTCATACATCCTATATGAATCTAAATATTTTACAATTTTTCTTAACAAAGGTCTTACATACTTTTAGTTAGGCTTTTTATCATCATTATTGTGTACATGTATGTGTGTACAGGTGTGTCATCATCATCATTGTGTACATGTGTGTGTACAAGTGGGTCATCATCACTGTGTACCTGTATGTGTGTACAGGTGTGTGCAGGTCAGAGGACGTTTGGGAGTCAGTTCTCATTCTACCACAGTTCTAGTGATTGAACTCTTAGGCTGGACCTCACCCAGGGACCAAGCTCAGGCTGTCGAGTCTGCACAGTGCTTTATGGGTGGAGCCATCTTGCCTTCCCTACTTTCTTACTGAGTATCTTCTAACACATGGCAGTTTTTGCCTTTAAGGCTCTATATCCTGATGGCTGTCACAGCACCGAAATGCTCATCTTTCCTCTAAGCCGCTACAGTGAACTTACCTAATTTTTTTTTTAGTGTTGTTTTCTTGTATCTGCTAAATAATGACTACAAATAAGAACAACTCTTCTCATTGTTGTTTTTTGAGACAGGGTTTCTCTGTGTAGCCCTGGCTGTCCTAGAACTCACTCTGAAGACTATGCTGGCCATGAACCACAGAGATCCACCTGCCTCTGCCTCCCAAGTGCACCACTGCCCAGCAGACAACTCTGTCATTTTGTACTAGGCAGTCCCTGAATGATTCACAGTGAGGCACTAGGACTGGCTGCAGTGTTACTCCTCTGTGAATCTGGGAAAGACAACCTTTTCTGTGTTTGATCACAATAAATGTTGACAATGATTCTATGAGAAAAGAGCAAAAATGCATTTATAAGTTAATTACCTGTGACTTGAACTGGAAATAGGAATTATAAACCTATTTTTAATGTAAATGTAGACTTATAAACAGACTTTCTTTTGTTATATAATGACATACTTACCTCTGCTAAGTCTTCAAAACAGCTTCCTACTAATGGGTGGGGACTGCCTTCATCTGTCATTTCTACAGTGTCTTCTATATGGCCCAGTAACTTTACACTAAGTTCATGTATATCTACTATACGACTAAATATGTTTTCTACATCCTGTGGAGAAAAGGGAAAGAAATATTAACTCAGTCATGTTGTATAATAAGATACCTTTTTAGTAAATAAAATCATATTATAACTAAAGTTTAATAGACTGAGGAATTTTAGTGACTCACAATAAAAACACTTCAAAATTCCTTTTTGTGATATATAGTTAAGAAATACTCATCTCTGTCAATCGTTTTGCTTTAGAACATCTTGATATGCACAGTTCAGCAGAGAGCAACAGGGTCTAGTTGTGTGTCTCTGCATTACATTTGTTGTGTCCAAATTCTGGTTGAAGGGCATGAAGAAAACTATGGCTTTATCCAGATACATAATTTTATCCAGACATGTAATGGGAAAATGCAGGAAAATTTTAATAATCTATTCAACAAACTGTGATATTTTTTTTGTCTTCTGTGTAGTGTCTGTGTAGCTTTTCTATTGAGATTTAATTAACATATCATAAAATAATTGGTTTTCTGAGAGAGGATGCTGAGGGTACTGCACATGGGACTTAAGGAAACTGTCTAAGGCAGGAAAGTATTTCCTGTCTTGACAATGACAGGGTCAAATATGGAGAAATAAATGTACAAGATCTCACAAAAAGTATATATTAAGTAAGTCTTATCTTCCTATGCGTGGACCATGTAAGTACAGTATAAGATGTACTGACAGGATGTATTCCCCACTGATGTGTGGACCGTGTCAGTACAGTATAAGATGTACTGACAGGATGTATTCCCCACTGATGTGTGGACCGTGTAAGTACAGTATAAGATGTACTGACAGAATGTATTCCCCACTGATGTGTGGACCGTGTAAGTACAGTATAAGATGTACTGACAGGATGTATTCCCCACTGATGTGTGGACCGTGTAAGTACAGTATAAGATGTACTGACAGGATGTATTCCCACTGATGTGTGGACCGTGTAAGTACAGTATAAGATGTACTGACAGGATGTATTCCCCACTGATGTGTGGACCGTGTAAGTACAGTATAAGATGTACTGACAGGATGTATTTCCCACTGTTTTACTTACAGTCCCTACAGCCACAGTTCTACTCTCTAAACATTCCATGCAAACAGATGACATGTATTACCCTGGCATTAATAAACTCATCATTTCATACACATTAATTGTAATACAGTCTCTGAGACCATATAATTTTAAATGGTCTGTTAAAATTTACTGATTACTATTTTATCAGTGATTTTTATTTAGGTCAAATTAATTTTGAGAAATGGTTTGTAGGCCGGGCGATGGTGGCGCACGCCTTTAATCCCAGCACTCGGGAGGCAGAGGCAGGCGGATCTCTGTGAGTTCAAGACCAGCCTGGTCTACAGAGCTAGTTCCAGGACAGGCTCCAAAGCCACAGAGAAACCCTGTCTCGAAAAAACTAAAAAAAAAAAAAAGAAAAAGAAAAAGAAATGGTTTGTATACAGTAAGAGATCCCTTCTTTAAATGTATTTTTGGTGAGATTGTAACCTCTTTCTAGTCACTACCCACATTTTGTCTTAAAAAGGTTTTTATGGGGCTAGAAAGATGGCTCAGCAGTTAAGAGCACTGGTTTGATTCCCAGAAACCACGGGGCTTATAATTCCAGCCCCAGGAGATCCAATGTCCTCTCCTGGCTGCTACAGGAAAACAATCACATATAAAATAAAATCAAAGAATATTTTTTAAAACTTTTCTTATGTTTTATCTGCATCAACTCCCACAATCCTCACTGCCAGAAAATGAGTGTCCATTACTAGACAATTATCTTTTCCAGAACATTTGATAAGTGGAAACCCATCTTGTGTGTCCAGCTTCTCTGCTCATGTTCTTGAGATTCAGTTATTGGGGTGTATGCATAAGTACTTCATTCCTTATGCCTAGAGAGTAGCTGTCTACTCTAAGGGTAAATCATAATCATCCTATGTCTTCACCTTTCATAGGGTAACATGGAAAATTTACAAACCCATAAGTAGTCACTCCACGTTCTTCTCAGTATCTGATGCTTTAAAAAAAAAAGTCCTTCTAATATATATGTGGAAATATCTCACTATGCTTGATTTGTATTTCTCTGTTAATTAATGATACTGAACACCATTCAGCAAGTTTTGTTTGTTGATTTTTGTCTAAGATATTGTCTCTACTCTTTTTTTAAAAGTAAATTTAATGAAACAACTTAAATGTCATGTACTTCATACATTTAAACTAATTCAATAAATAGTGCTTAGCATATTTATAAACTTATAAAATCTAATTCTTTATTTTTGTAGTGGTGGGAACTGAGCCCAGAGTCTCATATACCTATCAGACAAGTGCTTGGCCACTGGGCTGTACTTCTGCTCCTGGTCCTTTATTGTTTAATAGTCACTCATTGCTGTACCTTGAGCTCCAGAGCCCACTCCTGGGGAGCACTACAGCCCATCAGTCACCAGGCTCTGTGGCCGTTCTCGGTTAGTGAGATTAGTATGGACACTATCCTGAGACTAGTACCACTGTTACAGGGCTGCTGTGACGCTCATCACACTTGAGGGCATTTTTTGTCTACAGCTTTGCCTTGACTGTTTAGAGACAAGAGCTATTTCTTGCTCATCTAAATATGGTATCCAACAATACAGCTGCTGCTGATAAGGATCAGTTAAATGACTCAAATGAGTCAATTGAATCAAAAATATCTTCCACCTAACAAAGTTTTTTTTTTCTTTTTTTTTTTTTTGGTTTTTTGAGACAGGGTTTCTCTGTGGCTTTGGAGCCTGTCCTGGCACTAGCTCTTGTAGACCAGGCTGGTCTCGAACTCACAGAGATCCGCCTGCCTCTGCCTCCCGAGTGCTGGGATTAAAGGCGTGCGCCACCACCACCCGGCTCACCTAACAAAGTTTTATTCCTTGAAATAAATGTATTATTATGTGAATTCATTTTCACTTATATAATTAGTCTATTTTAGATTTTGTCTTTCAATTTCTGTTTAATCTCTTGAAACTGCTATAGTACTTTATTTGTGACCATAAATTTAAGTTCCACAACTTAAAAAAAATTGTTAAATTAGAAGTTATGAATTATGTAAGTTCAAATTTGAAGTGAAATTTAACAACACATGCAAAAATAGCATAAAATATACTTACATAAGATGAAAACAATTTAGAATTAGAGACAAAGGGTTCTCGAAAAACTTTTATAATTAGATTTAATTCTCTTATATATTGTCGAATTTCTGCCATGAATGCTTTTACCAAATCATAATAAGTTTGTTCTCCTGAGGTGGAAGGCTCTTCATCAGTTAAAGATAAAATATTTATGTCTTCTACATCTTGATGAAACATATCCATCAATACCTATTAGTGAGAGATATAAAACAAAATTGTAAAATAATTATCTAGTCTAACTGAAGGTAAATGCCCTAGAATAGTTTTCCATTCATGAGAGCATATACATAATGTGTGTGTGTGTAAGCTGAAGGACAAACTCTCCCTAAGGATTTTTTGAAATGGGCTGAAGAGAAGAGATGGTTCCGTGGTTAAGAGCAATTGATGCTCTTTCAGAGGACCTGGGCTCTATTCCCAGCTCACACATGGGGGCTCACAGTCTTCCTTAATTCCAGTTCCAGAGATCTGATGCCCTCTTCTGGCCTCCTTGGAGACTAGGCATGAGCATGGTGACAGACATACATGCAGGTAAAATACCCATATACATTTAAAAAAATTATTCAAAAAGTTTACAATTATTACTCTTGTTGAAACTCATCCTTCCCATTCCTGTGGACTACTTAATACTTAAGTCACTGCAATATATTTTACCTTAGGCTACCATATAAGTCACCTTTCGATACCTCTGGAACCTTGTTGTTTTGTTGCGTTTAATATTTTTAAGCCTTAGAGACATAGTCTCATATAACTGAAGCTAGTCATACGCTCACTATGCAGCCAAGGTAGCATCAGTTCTGATGCTTCTGCCTGCACAGCTGAGTGCTGAGATGACAAGCTTGCACACCATGTGCTGCTTACGCAGTGCTGGAATCGAACCCAGGGCAGTATACACTCTAGGCAAGCACTCTACCAATCAGACTACATCCCAGCCCCTTTTAACATGTTTCTCTATATCTCATTCTGTGTGAGCACATAATAGATACATAAAAATATTTTATTTATATGATTCATTAAGAAGCAGCAAGCAGAAGGACTGGATAGATGGCTCAATGGTTAAGACGAACACAGACTGCATTTTCAGTTTCCAGCAGCCATGTCAGGCATTTCAGAACTGACTATAATTTCAAGTTCAGGGGGATCTGACGCCCTGTTTTGGCTTCTCTGAGTCCCCGCATGTACACTGTATACATAAACTCATGAAAGTATACACACATACATATTTAAAACAAAGTAGCAAACATTTTGTATTTCAGTTTCAAAATTTTAATCATTAAAACCAAGTACTTACGCATTTAAAAATATGAAAACACTTGTAATACTTCAGACCAGGTCACTTATTTCATTCTAGATTACTCTATAAGAACAAACACTAAGACATAAATAGATTGGGTAATGAGATTGTCCGAGCATGAGGAAAGCCCAAACAGAATGCCATCAGAAATGCTTTCTTCCCTGCGAAGGCATTCAGGTGTCATACATCTCTACCTTATTCCTACACAGTAACAATCTGGATGCATGCTATTAGATTACTGAAAATCCTCCCAACACATAATGCAGTGTCCAATTCTTTCTGAAGAAGACATTAGCATCTGATAAATCATAAGTAAAATTTATGAATAAAACACACAGAGCTCTTACCTTATCAGCACACATTGCCACTTTAATGTCTTGTTTTGTGATTTCATAATGTCGTATATTTCTTACATAATTCCCCACCAATTTTAAAATATCTGCAGAAATATATTCTAATACTGCTACTATGTAAACAGAAACCTGGTGGTCAATTTTATAACCCAAGACCTCCTGAAAAATTAAAAAGAAAGTATGTTTAAACACCATATACAGTAAACTTAATATACTGACTAAAAAAAAAAAAAGTACACGACTTGACTGGGCAGTGGTGGTGCACGCCTTTAATCCCAGCACTTGAGAGGCAGAGGCAGGTGGATCTCTGTGAGTTCGAGGCCAGCCTGGTCTACAAGAGCTAGTTCCAGGATAGGCTCCAAAGCTACAGAGAAACCCTGTCCCCCCACCCCCAAAAAAATACACGACTTAACTTTTACTGAAGCTTGTCATTACCAACATTTAATAATTTAAGTTTCACTGGTTCAATCATGAGAAATAAAGATACAAAGCTATATATATATAGAATACACACATACACACTTTTAAAAAGCTAAGAAAAGGAAGCAGAATTGTCCCTCGTCATGTACACTACTTCAGCAGTGCACGTTACTAGGTAGGTAATGCTATCCTAACCGGGAAAGTTTAGGTTTAGAGTCAGAAGCAAATGGTCTCTGTTACCAAGTAGGAATGCACACAAGAAGCTACACAAAATCTTTTTCTTACGAAACAAGAGTGTCTATAATATTGGCATCCAGGAATAGCTATTAGTCTTATACCTCAATAGTTTCCCAAGAAACCGGGGTTCCCCAAGGAGCCTTATGGCACTTTGTTGGCTTTCTATGGAAAAAAAAAGCTATATGCTACTGAGCACGTTAAATAGTCCTATTATTGAACTTAATAGAGAGTATGTTCTTTTGTGGAACTAATTTCCTCAAGAAAGATGAATTCTAAACAAGAGGAGAAAATAAAAGTCAGTTGGGTATAACAATGCATGTCTTTAATCCCAGTACTTGGGAGGCAGAAGCAGAATTACAAATCCTAGGTCAAGGCCAACCTGAGTAATAAAGTAAGACTCCATTTCAAAGGGGAAAAAAACAGAATAACTTTTACTAAGGTTTTAAATATTGTACTAAGGTGTGTGTGTGTGTGTGTGTGTGTGTGTGTGTGTGTTTGTGAATTTGTCACAGTAAGAAACAAAATTAGCATTATTAGGATTCTCGGCACGTTTCTGTCAGTTCTGGGAAGATTAAAGTGATTAACTTAAATCTAAGTAGGACCAGCTCATGTAAGTAATATGTGGGATTTCTGTCGGTGACAACAGCTGCCTGCTGCGGCTTCACCGCAGCTTCTGCACAGATCTAACAGATCTGAAAAGTTTTATGGGACACTCGGGTCTGAGCAGCAAGGACAAGAAATTTTACAAATTCTATTTTCTAGCAACCTCTGAGGTAAACAAAATCCACAATATAACTTTATTTATTACTATTGGTCTGAAATTACATTAAACCACGCTGCCCAATCTATATTCATTATCATAGTACCCATGCCACAACATGAATTCCTAGAAAACTTACAACGATTTTCTTATTCAATTAGTTTGCCTTTCAAAGGCAAGACGGCAGGATTTCAGCTTACCCTTAACAAATGATGAATTCTTTCTGCTGGCAGAGATAAAGGGTTTCTTCTCTTTCTCTTTTCAATAGCTGATTGGGCATCAGCTATTGCCCATTTATCAATTGGATGAGGGAAACTTTTTTGAACGCGTTCCTTAAAAAATAGGAAAACAACAACTAAACAACAGACAAATGAAACAGAGTTCGTCACTTAAATTTTTCTTTTAAATAAAAATTCACAAAGCTGAGCTTTTCACATAATTTATATTGTAAACATGATTTTAGTGGTTGTCAGTGTATTAGTTTCATAATTATGTGACTAAGGGACTGGACACACTTTAATTACCCGGGAAATCACACCCTGAATTCCACCTTCACTGACACTGATGGCAAGACTGACCCATCACTTTAAACATCACTCTTACAGTTTCAAGGAAGGAGACTTAAACTAATTTAGCAAATACAACTCCAATATTTTTGGTCCTCGGGAGGGTGGAGGGTTGCAAGGCAAGACAGGGTTTCTCTGTGTAGTTCTGGCTGTCCTGGAATTCGCTCTATAGACCAGGCTGACCTCAACCTCTCCAAAAACGCCTGCTTCTGCCTCTAGCTGCTGGGATTAATAGCATGTACCATCATCACAAGCTCAATAAATTCTTATGTACTTGTATTTTTACTTTAATCCCAATCATAAATTCCAGTAGCATTTTCAATTAAAACCTCAGAGATGTTTCTTTCTCCAACCCTCATGTGAGAATATTTCTATCAAAACTGTCTACAAGTCACGAAGCTAAGTGGTTTGTATCAATAACAGCAAAGCACAGTTCCATCTTTTAGCAAACTACTTCAAATCTATCATCTCCAAGTTATATGGTTAAAATATGATATGATTGGAAGTTAAAGAATGGCCTGTCATAATAGCTAAACCCCCTATTTTAAAGTAATTTACTATTAGCAAAAAGTGCTCCCTCCTCCAGTGTTTAAAACCCACTTGCAGTACACCTCGGTTATAGCCAGTAGAGGTCAGTATTACAAAGTCTCACTATTCAGCTAGGCATGTGAAACAACCAGATGGAATTGAACATTGCCCCAATACAAACCTGAATGGAAGTTTTATCAGTAAGTACATTGCACAGACACTGTAGAGCTAGGTGTGAGGAAGGTACACAGTGCATTTAGGACATCCTGGGAGCAGGTTTGCACACAGACACTGTAGAGCTAGGTGTGAGGAAGGTACACAGTGCATTTAGGGCATCCTGGGAGCAGGTTTGCACACAGACACTGTAGAGCTAGGTGTGAGGAAGGTACACAGTGTATTTAGGACATTCTGGGAGCAGGTTTGCACACAGACACTGTAGAGCTAGGTGTGAGGAAGATACACAGTGCATTTAGGACATCCTGGGGGCAGGTTTGCACACAGACACTGTAGAGCTAGGTGTGAGGAAGGTACACAGTGCATTTAGGACATCCTGGGGGCAGGTTTGCACACAGTTATCTAATCCTCTCTTCATCTGTGTGCAAGACTGTTCAGGTGCCAGTCTTTAAAACTGCATATTTTAATTCCATTAGACGTAGTTTAATCAGAAGTAAAAGAATTCTTGTAGTTAAAAAAAAAAAGTAGCAAAGCTCTTTAACTGCCTAGTTGGAACCCTGCCTGCTATCCATATTTGATAAAGGTAATACAAAGGTCCAAAATGGTGGCAGAGCAAGAGGCTAGGAGGGGTGGCAGAAGTGAAAGGGAAAGGATAACAAAAGAACATCCAAAACACAAAGCACCCCTTGCTCCCCTTAGCTCTCTCCTCCTCTAGTCACTCTGGCACTGTGCTTTGGTCTGTACCAGGGCCTTCTGCCTCCTGGGTAAGAGTTCTACCACGAGGCTGCAGCTCTTCACCAGCCATGGGACTCCTAGCACTTCGAAACCTCAAACCAGAGAAACAACATGAAACATAAGACATGAAAGTCAAAGAGACAATTATTGGGGGATGGGACGGGGAATCAGCAAAAAGGGAACAGGAGGGACGGAACAGGGAGAGGGCGATAACAACAAAGTATAAATGACATATGCCTGAAAATGCCATAGAAAATCCTTATAGCCTGGTGAAACTCACTTGCTACACTAGTCTGAAAACATGAGGTCAGTCCCTGAGCTCAGAAACCCACAGGGGAAGAACAGACTCCACAGCTGTCTTCAGCTTCCATACACACTACATGCATGCCTGCACTAGCAAACCCTCTCCTCTCCCTATCCCAACCACCCATGCACACATACATTCACGCACGCGCGAGCACAGACTAATTAAAAAAATGTTTTCATCCACCACTTTGTCTGCGAACTTTAAAAACAAACAGACAGACAGACAGACAAACAGTGCAGTAAAATCTCCAAGCTGGTGAGACAGCTCCACAGGTCAGGGCACTGGCAGCCTCATGACCTGAGCTTGGTCCCCAGAACTGATGGGAAAAAAACTCCTGAAAGTTGTTCCCTTCATGCAAATGTGGCATGTCTACATACACACACAAAGTTAAATGATACATTTTCAATAGTTTATAGGATACCCATATACAGAAACTGAAACAGGGCTCCTGAATAAACCTGGCCCTTGTTTTAGGAAGCACCTCATCTTTTCTGTTTCCTTCTGGATGATCAATGCACCAAGTGATCATATGGCCTGGAAAGCCATCTCTCCAGCCCCCCAAATTGTTTTTGTTTGTTTGTTTTTGAGGGTTTTTTTTTTTTGCCTTAAGTCTTCATTTGTATCTATTCTCTTCTGATGGTCAATTTTCAAACACATAAGAAAAGAGAAAGATACCCTATAGGATTGTTTTAAGAATATACAAATTTTAAACTAGCACTTTGAAATTATAAAATTTCAGTGGTTAAGAGCTAGGTCTCTTCCAGGAGACCTGAGTCTGATTCCTAGCTCTGCCATCAATCACATAGCTCACAACTGCCTGTAACCCCAGATTCAGGGGGATTGTGCTGGATTGTTTTATGTCAACTTGACACAAAGTAGAGTCACCAGAGAGAAGGGAACCTCAAGTGAAAAAATGTCTTCATAAGATTTGGCTGAAGGCAGTCCTGTAGGCATTTTCTTAACTAGTGATTGATGGAGGAGGACCCAGCCCATTGTGGGTAGAGCCATCCCTAGGCGAGTGGCCCGGGATTCTATAAGAAAGCAGGCTGAGCAGCCAGTAAGCAGCTCCCTTCATGACCAGTGCATTAGCTCCCGCCTCCAGGTTTCTGCTCTGTTTGAGTTCCTGCCCTGGCTTCTTTCCATGATGGACTACAGAGAAGACCAAACCAAATAAACCCTTTCCTCTCCAACTTGCTTTTTGGTCATGGGGTGTCATCACAGCAGTAAAAACCCTAAGACAGGGATCCAACTCCTTTGGTCTCTGTGGGTACCTGCACTGTGTACATACCTACACACAGGTGTGCACATACATACAGTTTAATATAATAAAAACAAATGTTTGAAAAAGAAATGATAACGCTTATTATATAAGTGACTGACATTTCTTATTGCCATATTCTTACATATTCTTGCACAAAACTATCTCCAGTCCTAAAGCCTACACATTAGAATTTCATATGGTTTTCTGTTCCTAGTTTATAGATTAAAGATGAAATGAGACAAACAAGGTTACATAAACATGACAGAAAGATCTGATTTGTGTTTGCAATGTCATCAGATTCCTAGAATATACCAACATCAGATACCAACATCAGAATAATATGCAAGGTGACATTTGTAAGTCCTTTCTAATACACTAGACATTAAGTCTGGATTCTGCGAAACCATGGAAGCACAAGCAAGGATCAAATAGAAAACCCAACTGAAATTGTTGATGTGATATAATCAGGCAAGCAGTGCTACTAAGATCCCTGTGAAACAACAGAAATAAGTATTTAAGAGAAATTATGAATAAAAAATCTGTCTTTAAAATTAAATGGAAATGGGAAGAAATCAGCAATGTTTAACAGGGAACTCTTGAAATCCCAGCAAATGGGAGGTGGAGGCAGAAGGATTAAGAAATGTTCTTGACTATACGGCAAGTTGAATTTAAGGCCAAACTGCGCTACATGTGATCCTGTCTCAAAAACAACAAAACAAAACCACCACAAAGAACCTACTGTAAATGAGTTAAAAAATAAGAATTACACAGTACATGATCTTTTCTATATTTCAAACCTGTTTTCCCCCTTTCTTTTTTTGGGGTGTGGGGCCAACCCTGGAGACGGAATTTGAGGCTTCATGTATCCTAGCCAATAAGATACACCCCTAATCTTCAATGTTCCTAGACAGTTCCATTAGCTGCTTCTTTGAAACAGCAAACTTCCACACTCATCTAAAGTCCTGTGACTTGTAGGAGTTAAGGATAACAATAACTAGAACACTCTCCTGGATTCTTTTGCTTTGCTTTTGAGACAGGTCTCACACAGCCCAGGCTAGCCTTGAACTCCCTATACAGTTAAAGTTGATTTGGAAACCTGATCCAATCTTGCCTTTACCTCCCAATTGCTGGTATTAAAGGTTTGCAGAACAGCAATGTTTGGCACCATAATTTTTTAAATCCACACCTTGGGAACCTTCAGCTCTGTCTGTCAGCACATACTCACATTTGCTTTGTAACTGTTACCAGCGCAGTTATAAGTTCATCTTTCTCTGATCCCAATCTTTCCTGCTATTCTCCCTGAGGTATTTTCAGATACTTTATTATCAATCCTTTAACTTTCTGAAATTTAAAGGAAATGTTTTTGGGATGAAAACTTTGCACATGTTCTACTCTTAAAAGTATGAACATCTCTGTGAGTTCAAGACCATTCTGGTTTACATAGCAAGTTCCTGGGCAGCCAGGACTAACTATAGAAAGAGGCTTTGTCTCAAAAAAGAAAAGATTCTAGTAACAACAAGAAGTTGTCCATTTAAACTGAAAAGTCAGATCTTAAAGTTTCACAGCTAAGACACAGATAAGCTATCACATACCCAGAACAAAGTTTAAAGACATCCATGAGCAACCTGAAGAGCTAATGCTTTTCTCTTTCACTGCCATTACAACAAACATGCAAGCTAGAAATACATATAGCCTACAGGACAAAAGGTGTCATTTATCATACCTCCACATCTGAAGCACTCCGGGGCTGAGCTTGGCACAGCATGTTTAATAATTGCAAAATTAATTCTTCAACATACTGAAGAGCATCATCATTAGACTCGAGGGTAGGATGAACTTGCCCCTGAACCTATAAACAGAAAGTGAAGTAATTAGAGTACGGGTTTGTACTAAAGAATTTGGATTAGCCCACAAATACAGATTGACTGTTGTCCAAAAATCAGGGCTTCTCAACCTTTTGTTCCCAGCCTCATGCACCATGTAGGCTATTAATATCTTTTGGAGATCCAGTTACCTAATTGTAATTTCACTATTTTTGCATACACTATGGATTGCAATGAAATGCAGAAATGGGAGTAGGAGAGAGTGGCTATGGCGGTGATAAAATACTCAGTTTATGTGGGATGCCTGCCCAGAACCAGCTAGAACTTTCAACATTCTACTTGGGTGAAATTGAGGTTCTGTCACTTGTTTAATTTTACCTTCCATACCCAATGATAAGACCCAAGAGGATAGCTCATCAGGTTCACTAATGAATATTCAGCATCTAGTACTATGGAGAGTACACACAATACAAGTAATAGATAGTTGTGGACATAAAATCACCTTACAACAATCAACACAGGGCCAAGGAGAGGATAAAAGCACAAGCCTGGGGACCAGAGTTTGATCCACACACAAATTACACAGATGGGAGTCTGACACAGGAGAATTGCCAAGAACCTGGCAGGCCAGAAGCCTGGAGCACTCAGCATAGCAGGAGAGATAGAGACCCTGTGTGGGAAGTAAGAGTTTACTCCCCCACATATTGTCCTCTGACATCTATAAATGCACTTGCTCTCTCTCTCTCTCTCTCTCTCTCTCTCTCTCTCTCTCTCTCTTACACACACACACACACACACACTCACCATACACAACCCAAATGAGCACTTTGACACATGTAATTTAGTATATTAAATTGTGAGAAGATGGGTGATCATCTAATAATCTTTATTTTTCCATGACTTTTTTCAGAATTGCTTAAGGCTGGCTGATGGTCTCTACCAAGCTTTCATTTTAATAACCAGCACAACAATTTTGCATTCCTTTATTGCTCACTATGGGTCAGAACTATTCCTCACCAAATAAATGGCAAGAAAAGTCATTCCTGATGCTAAATATACTTTAAGACATGTACCCATTGACTGAAGGCAAACAGTATGGAGATGAGAGCCTCAGTGTGGGGAAAAACTGTTAGTATATTGTAGCTAGTTTTTTGTTTTGTTTGTTTACTCTTTTGGGGCCCACCACCAATACATATATGTATGTGCCCAAATACATATACAGAGACTTATTTTTACTTATGAATTCCCAGCCTTTCTTTTTACTTATGACAGCTTTTCTAAATTATCCATCTCTCTTAAACTAAGTTTTGCCTCTGAGTTTTTACCTTTCTTTATTCTATACATCTTCCTTTCCTTCTTACTTCATGGTTAGGTGGCTAGCCCTTGGCACCATTCTCTCCTCCTTTTCTCACTCCTCCCTCTTCTTTCTTTCTCCTATTTATTCTCTCTGCCTGGCAGCCTCACATATTTCTCCCTTCTGCCCAGCTATTGGCTGTTCAGCTCTTTATTAGACCAATCAGGTGTTTTAGGCAGGCAAAGTAACACAGCTTTACAGAGTTAAACAGATGCAATATAAAAGAATGGTGTTCAAGGTGACCTTTCAGGGGGTCTTGGTCCATCAAACCACATTAGTCTGGAAGTATTGCACAGGTTCTCATCCTCTTTGAAAACAAAAGAAGAACCTCTTTTCTAAAGCAACATATCCTTAGACTCAAACTTTGAAGTCAGAAAACCTTTAAAACATATATGTTGATTTAGTTTAGCAGCCCACACAATGAAATGTCTCTCTGTATTTAGCTCCTTTACAGTCAGAAAACACAGTAATTCACATAATCCAGACTCTTTGTGAATTTTCCATCTTTATGTAGCTTATTTTTCTTGCTCTATTACTTTTTAATATTTATTTTATTATCTTTACTCCTTTAATCTATGACTGTACTGTCTCTTTAGAGACTCTTTTTATAAACCATTTATCCTATATTCTTTATCTTCTCTCTTCCAAGCCCACACACATTTTTTAAACACTGTGTCTCATTTAGAGGTCTTTTATGCCTGAATCTGTCTTATTGTGTAGTTCATTTAAAAAATGTAATGTATAATTAAGAAATATAGGTTAATAGTCAAGCTTGTAGTCATGTTATTTAGATTTTCTAGATATATAGATAGGCATTCTTCAATCTTTCAAAGACTACAGAATATGGCATTTTAAATGTTTTAATAACTTAGGGCTTTTCATGATAATGAGGCACATCTACTCTTGGAAGCACCAATCTACTTCAAGAGGAAGATGGGCATTGAAGAGGCTCCTTATGGAGTTTGATAGCTATTTGGGCAAGAAACTGCTCTTACCTGGACTGATGCATAATCTGGACACAAAGAACCCTCAGAGAGAGGACTGCTGAACTTGCCTAAAGGTGAGATGATCTTTTGGGGTTCCTGATTCATGAAAGAGTCTGCGAGACATTCTGCAGGACACAGCAAATAGTGACTGAATTGCCTTTGAAATTTCCTGCTTCATGGAAATGTCTCTGGATACTATGGGCCTGTAGGCCGAAGATGGATGCCCCAATGGTACAAAAGAACTTTGGGTGACTGTCCAGGCAGCGAGATGTCTCTGTGATTTCTAGAGTTTTGTAAGTTGCTTACTTCTCATTAACTTAGGTAATAATATATCCTTCTAGAGTCTTTGATGGAGTTGAAGAATAGTTATAGTTGTTTTCCTTTGTTATGATAAAAGACAAAATAGATATAAATATTGTAACTGTAATTCTTACTTGATAACTGTTTGGTTATATGTAACTTTGCTATGTTAAAATTAAAGTCTTTTTTTTTTGTTTAAACAGAAAAAGGGGAAATTATGTGGGAGGGTCTTCTGTTTTGTGTTGATTTCATTGGTTAATAAAGAAACTGCCTTGGCCATTTGATAGGCCAGCCTTTAGGTGGGTGGAGTAGACAGAACAGAATGCTGGGAGGAAGATGGAAGTAAGGCAATCGCCATGCCTCTCCTCTCTGGGGTCAGACGCCATGGATCCAGTCACCAGGTCAGACATGCTGAATCTTTCCCAGTAAGGCATCACCTCATGGTGCTACACAGATTATTAGAAATGGGTTAATCAAGATGTGAGAATTAGCCAATAAGAGGCTAGAACTAATGGGCCAGGCAGTGTTTAAATGAATACAGTTTGTGTGTTGTTATTTTGGGTAAAGCTAGCCGGTGGCCAGGAGCCAGCAGCGGGAAGTGGCCCACAGGTCTCACTACAAAAAAAAATTTCTTCATACAATAAACAGCAGGAAGAAGTATGGAGAAAACTATGCCCATATTGCAAATTATGTTTATAAATGTTTGTTTGCATATAAAAGGGGATATGCTATAGAGATTTGCATTGGTATAGATTTTGTTTATTGATACAAATTTAAGGTCAATTTTATTATATGTATATTTCCGCTCTTTATGAAAGCATTGTTTGTGCAGTTCATTTAAAAATGTAATGTATAGTTAAGCAATATAGGTTAGTAGATAATTGAAGTAATAAGGGCGGCAGGGCTGCGTTCTCAGCACCCCCGGCCGCCTGCCCGGCTAGCTTATGCCCAAAATAATTACACAGACACTGTATTCTTTTAATCACTGCTTGGCCCTTTAGCCCTAGCCCTTACTGGCTAATTCTCACATCCTGATCAACCCATCTCTAATAATCTGTGAGAACCGGTCTTACCAGGAAGATTCTAGCCTAGTCCATCCTGGGTCAGAGCTTCATCCCGGGAGCGGGGCATGGCGTCTCTCTCTCAGGCATCTGCTCCCGAGAGAGCTGTGGAGTCTCTGAGCTCACTTCCTCTTCCTCCCAGCATTTTGTTCTGTTTACTCCTCCCACCTATCCTCTAACCAATAAAATGGGCCAGGGCAGTTCCTTTATTAGCCAATGACCTTCCTCCATCATTTCCCCTTTTTCGGTTTAAACAAAAAAAAAAGGCTTTAACTTTAACATAGCAAAATTACATATAACAAAACAGTTATCAAGTAAAAGTTACAATAATCTTTATCATAACTAAGGAAAACTATAACTATAACTAACTATTCTTAACTCCATCAAAGACTCCAGAAAGATATATTACCTAAGTAAACAAGAACTAAGAAACTTCAAACTCTAGAAACGACAAAGACATCTCGCTGCCTGGACAGTCACCCAAAGTTCTTTTGTACTGTTGGGGCATCCATCTTCAGCCTTCAGGCCCATGGTATCCAGCAGACATTTCCATAAAGCAGAAAAATTCAAAGTCAGTTCAGTCACTATCTGTTGTGTCCTGCAGAATGTCTCGCAGACTCTTTCAAAATGAATCAGGAACCCCGAAAGATCATCTCACCTTAGGCAAGTTCAGTAGTCCTCTCTCTGTGGGTTCTCTGTGTCCAGTTGATGCAACAGTCCAGGCAAGAGCAGTTTCTTGCCCAAATGGCTATCAAACTCCATAAGGTGCCTCTTCGATGCCCATCTTCCTCTTGAAGTACATTGGTGCTTCCAGGAGCAGAATGTCTCATTGTCATGAAAAGTCCTCAGTTATTAAAACATTAAATGTCCTATTCTGTAATCTTTGAAAGACATGAAGAATGTCTATCTAAAATATATCTCTATATATCTAGAAAATCTAATTAACATGACTACAAGCTTTACTATTATCGATGATTATCCATTAACAACCTATATTTCTTAATTATACAGTACATATTTAAATGAACTACACTATCATAATACCTCAATCAAAATCAGAAACACTCATACATATAACAAAATTGACCTTAAATCTCTATCAATAAAGCAAAATCTATACTAATGTAAATTATTCATATCTATATCATATCCCCCTTTAAATGTAAAAGAACGTTTATAAACATTTTTTGGGAATATGGGCGTAGTTATTTCTCTCCAAACTGCTTCCTGCTGAATGGGGGCGTCGTTAATTTGGTCTTTCATGGTATAACCTGTGTGCTAGTTTCATCTCAGTTGGCAGTTCAGCGAAGCAATTTTTTGAAGGC